CGACATCGATCGATAACGAAAAGTGGACTGTGACACCCGCCGGGGCCCGAAGTGTATGTGTGCCAAGTTTGGTCCGGATACGGCGGAACCGGGTAAGCCAGCTAGTAATAGACATATAATATACACTTCCCTCCTCTCCAGCCTTTAAGAGAACTTTTTCGAAGACCACTTCAAGTTGGGATTTTATCAAGTTAAAATGTAAACCATTATAAAGACAAAATATCTTTTTCAAAAAAAAAGTCCTATCACAATAATTTTGCCAGTTTTGGGCGACATGAAATTAATAAATCGAAAACCTCTGATTCTTTTATGACCTTCTTAGGGCGAAATTCTTCTCACAACTCCCATTGAGTGTCACCTCAAAAGCAGTAGAATCTTGCAACGACTACGCCTCAAGAAGAGGCTATGAGCTCAATACATATATCGTCGCCTTCCCGGCGTATCGTGCATCCCCCAGAATAGTTTCCATATGAACCATCAACGTGGCTGCCTTTCGATCATTTTGACACGTTTATTCCAGTAAATTTGAGACGCTTATTCGAACTTGACATGTTAAAATAATCGAAAGACAGCCACGTCGATATGGGGAGAATTTTAGGGGATACGTTTGGCGGAGCACTGGCAGACATCTGAACACTTGATGAACTTGTTAACCCTCCACTGCAAGGCGTTGTTCTTTGTAATCTCTCGCTACCAATTCTGCCACTTATGATTACAGCATATATACGTGGCAGTTCGGAGAGAATAAAGAACCATACTTTGCAGTACAATACCGCTCACATTTTTTGAAAAATAGACGCGAATGTATGGACATGTGTGGACATGTACTGACATGTCCATACATGTATGGACATGCCCGTACATGTCCGTACATGTACATACATGTATGGGCATGTCCATACATCAGCGTCGCGTAGCTATATCTCGCTTCAGAGTGGACGAATTCTGAATCCAAAGCCACCATTGGATTCAGCTCGGCGCGGAGAATCTTCTGATGTATTGGAAGTGGGGGTGCGATGTCTTCGACATTCCGTTTCCCAGTTTTTTTTCAATTTGTTCTGCGGAGGTCCTTTCGCGAATATGTGAAGCAAGTAAAAGACTTTACTAAGTAATATTCGATAATACTATCTTGTAGATTATTGTGCGCTAAAAAATAGGCTCAGACTTCTTTCCAAAGGAGATAGAAGCATTGGTGAATTTTGGAAAAATCACGCGTTTTTAAATTCTACTCGCTATAACTTCCTTCGGAATAAGCGTATTTTGAATCCGAAAACTTCACCTTGCTCAGCTCATCAAGGAGAATCTTCTCATATACAGCATGTCCTTGATATTTCGATTTCAGTATTCCTGAATCTTTCTCAGGACGTCTTTTCGCGAAGGTGTAATGCAGCGAGCATTGTCCCGAGTACATTTCAGCAAGGATCTTTCGATAGCACTTTTTCTGTAGATTATGATGTGCTAAATAGTAGCCGCAGGTTTCTTTTCAAAGGAAATAGAACGGCCGGTGAATTGTGGAAAAATCTTGTCGTCCCAAATTCTACTCGCCATATCCGCAGGATACGAAGCTATCTTGCTAAGCAGGTGTGAGTTTCGAAATCAGCAGGTCGCATAACCTCTACGAGCAAGTTTTCTGATATGTTCGGGTCATTTCATTTTTTTCTCGTTTTACGCTCCGGAAGCTCGCCGATGGATTTTGGTCAAAATGTTGATTGCTCTTGAATTGTAAGGAAACTTTGCTTATAGAGGTTTTCGAACACGTTCTTTACGAAAATCGTGGTCCTTGAGGATTACAAGGTCTTTTTGGAGAGATACGGTGAGGTGACTGTAACTGCATCACGAAAGTGCGTAACATTGCGCGCACTTCTCACGTATCTATCAGAAACCTTGCCTGCTTGCTTTTCTCAGACAAAGTTACTAGGAATTGTGCTATCGAATGGTGCATGACTCAAGCTCCAGTCTGTGAAGTTCGCCGAGTTATGAGCCTACGAAAACACGTCCTCATTTTTGCCCAAAATGTAAAGATCGCATATTTCGTCGAAATTCCTCCGTGAGCGCTTGTATGGCGCTCGTTGCAGATATTATGTTCGCTTCTTCTCCAACTACTCCCAATTTATTGAATATGGTGCTTGCGTATGCTTCAGCTGCTCAATTGAATATCAAAGCTATTTCGTGGCTAGAGCTTAAAGCACCAAATCTAACACAACAAGATCCATTGAAAATGTGGAAGGATTTGTTCAGCGTGTTGTACAAGCGCTCGGGAAGAATTTCGACGAAATATGCGATCTTTACATTTTGCGCAAAATTCATGAGGAAGTGTTTTCGTAGGTTCATAACTCGGCGAATTTCACAGACTGGAGCTTGAGTCATGCACCATTCGATAACACAATTCCTAGTAACTTTGACTGAGAAAAGTAAGCAGGCAAGGTTTCTGACAGATACGCGAGAAGTGCGGGCAAAGTTATGCACTTTCGTGATGAAGTTACAGTCACCTCACCGTATCTCTCCAAAAAGACCTTGTAATCATCAAGGACCACGATTTTCGTAAAGAACGTGTTCGAAAACCTCTATAAGCGAAGTTTCCTTACAATTCAAGAGCATCAACATTTTGACCAAAATCCATCGGCGAGCTTCCGGAGCGTAAAACGAGAAAAAAATGAAATGACCCGAACACATCAGAAAACTTGCTCGTAGAGGTTATGCGACCTGCTGATTTCGAAACTCACACCTGCTTAGCAAGATAGCTTCGTATCCTGCGGATATGGCGAGTAGAATTTAGGACGACAAGATTTTTCCACAATTCACCAGCCGTTCTATTTCCTTTGAAAAGAAACCTGCGGCTACTATTTAGCACATCATAATCTACAGAAAAAGTGCTATCGAAAGATCCTTGCTGAAATGTACTCGGGACAATGCTCGCTGCATTACACCTTCGCGAAAAGACGTCCTGAGAAAGATTCAAGAATACTGAAATCGAAATATCAAGGGCATGCTGTATATGAGAAGATTCGCCTTGATGAGCTGAGCAAGGCGCTGTTTTCGGATTTAAAATATACTTATTCCGAAGGAAGTTATGGCAAGTGGAATTTAAAAACGCGTGATTTTTCCAAAATTAACGCCTCCATCTCCTTTGGAAAGAAGTCTGAGCCTATTTTTAGCGCACAATAATCTACAAGATAGTATTATCGAATATTACTTAGTAAAGTCTTTTACTTGCTTCACATATTCGCGAAAGGACCTCCGCAGAACAAATTGAAAAAAAACTGGGAAACGGAATGTCGAAGACATCGTAACCCCACTTCCAATATATCGGAAGATTCTCCGCGCCGAGCTGAATAATGGTGGCATTGGATTGAGAATTCGTCCACTCTGAAGCGAGATATGGCCACGCGACGCTGATGTATGGACATGTCCGTACATGTCCACACATGCCCATACATTCGCGTCTAGTTTTCAAAAAATGTGAGCGGTATTGTAGAGGTTTGACAAGTCACCAACGTGTTCAGATGTCCGCAAAAACTCCTACCAACGTACACCAGGGAGACAACGATACCAGGAATGGAGCCTTTTCAGATTTTGAAAGACAAGTTAACAGAGTCAGGCACAAGTGCCTGACTCCATTAACTTTATCGCCGAAAGAGCTTTTTCACCCAAGTTCTATGTGTTGCTAGCACAAGCCTCGGAGATCGTACAATAGTTGTTTGAGCTTGCCTTGACTTGTTTCGACTTTGTGGTAATCCTTAGACTTGAGCGCTCAAGATTAAAAGCGCAGTAATTCAAATTTTGGCAAAACTTCTTAATCTACAATTTAAAAGCGATTAGAGGTTTAATTTCTAGCATAGACTGACTGAAAGTATTTTTTATGAGTGTGAACAAGCTGACTTCTTTTACGTAACCAAGTAAATCATGTTCAAACATCGCGCTTTTCAGACTTTAAGAAACACTGGAAAATGTAATGGTAATGGTTTTTTGAGCTGCTTGAGGTGACATGCTTATTAAGGAAATTGTACCCAATCAACTAGCAACATTCTTTGGTGACTTTGGGGTATGTGTAAGTAAGAGATGGAGAATTGAAATTTGGCTGAGCCTTCGATAGTAGAGTTAGTCAGTAGTGATCAGGGCACTTACTCTTTCAGTTTCGACAGCGTTGTTATATTCGCCGATCTAGCGCTTTTTTCTTCACTTTTTTCAATCGTAGTACTTCCTCAGCTTTATGAACGAATTCGATTTTTACTACGATTCCCCCCCCCCCCTCTCCCCACCCCTCCCGCTCAGTCTTATCCCCAATACTGCCCCCAGGTCGGACACGCCTAACCCCACGCTTGACCCTGCTCAACTTGGTAAAAAAACTTTCCAGCTTTTTGTGCAAGCTCTTGAAACATATATGCTTTTTTTAGCTCAAAACTCTTCCATAAGTTTTTACCGTAACCTTACAGTAATGAAAAAATTGGTAAATCTCTCGTATATGAATCTAACCCTACAGCACGGCATCTAAAGACCTGCTAAACCTTTTCGAATAAAAAAATCTCAGTAATCAAAGTTCGATGCATTTTTTGACTCTGTACATCGCAGTTGCACTGGCAAATGATCATTTCATTCATGAATCGCAACGTTGTGGTCTAATCGCCTTTCAAAACAGAAGAGGGATTCACCATCATTAATACCGCCACCCTACAAAAGAATCCTTTGTTTTTATATATAGCAAGTCAAATGCTCGTACTTAGCTTGGTGGTCCGCTTGCCTCAATTAGAACTCTTACTAGCAAGTGAGCTAAGCAAGACTCAATCGAAAATCAATTCTGCACAGTCTTAGTTTGTGAAATGATTCTGAGTCAAAAGTGACAGAAGTCATACCATACCTCACACCATAAAAGAGGAATTGTCGTGATTTGCTCCTGGAATGCTGGCTAAAGAAAACGCTTCAAAAATCTCGGAGAAAACGGAAGAATTTGAGTCGTTTGTTTTTCAACTCGACTGATCTATAAAAAAGATGCTTCCTGATCTGTGATCTACAAATCAAAGCTAGCACAGAGCGGTGTCAATTGCGCCTCAGTCATCGTCAGTGGGTGCCGCTAACAGTCTTACTCCTCGAAATGCATGGATTCTCTCTTATAATTCTAACCGCAGGTTAGTTCTTCATTTCTCATACACTCAAATCATTCCATGCCAGTTTTCTGCTCGCCAAAAGACCGATGATGTCATTACGACAATGGATAAAGATGGCAAAAATCAAGTTTTTAGTGCTACAAACTACCAAAGAATTTTTCAACCATACTATGTTTTGAAGCTAACAAAGGAGGTCCGATTAGTCAAAGTGGATTTTCCAAATAAATCATATAACATTTTGAGGAGCTTCAAATTGATTCCGAATCTGTCTTCCTTATCTGCCGAGCGCCTCTGGACGTCGAGTTATGAGCGTTTTTTGGGTTGGAAAATTGAATGCGTAATTGGAACAAAATATGTCGAAATCGCTCAAATGGTCCAATTCTGATTACCAAAGCACTCTGTTTGAAAAACACCTCCTGTCCAAAACACTCATACTACATACTGTTCTATTTAAGCGCTGAAAAAACCGTAACAGTTGATTTTACTTGAATTTTGCGTTCATTTTTTACTTCAAAAAAAAACATTCATAACTCGGCTCGCAGAGGAGCTCGGCAGATATTGAAATAGGATTCGGAATCAGCGTTTGACGCTCTTCAAAACGGTATATGGCTCATTCAAGGACCTCCCTTGTAAGGTCAGCATAAGGTGATTAACTTCCTACGCCGATCAGATTTTGGAGCTATCAAATTTGTATCGTTACGTTGATCGAATTATATGAAACTATCTTCGATATCAATATTATACAGAGTGTTTAGAAAATGCGTGGCTTAAAGTATCTCTAATTTAAATTTTGCTGCTTGCTTCACTTGCTCATCAAACCTAGAAACCATCATTTTAGTAAAAATCAGGTCTCTTTGTGGTTCTATTCATTATTTATTAGGTTGAAACACAATTAATATAGCTTTCCCGTCTCTTCCCTTGTAATGCTTGTTGAAAAAAAACTATTGAATAAACCTTTATTCACCATCCAGCTGACCCTTCCTTAGTCTCTTACTTCTACTCTCTCTTAATTCGTTGATAAGTTCGTTTTGCAATACCTTACCTTGAAAGACAGGAGATCAAGTTCCAAAAATTTTTTCGTCGGAAATTTAGTCCAAAATTCTTATAATTATCTGCAAAAACCTTACCAGCGTGCAAAATTTTGAAGAACACAATTAGAGTCAAAGAGTTGTGCTGCAAATACACATCAAAATAAAACTTCCAGAATCTGCAATCAATATAAAAAACATTTTAACTCAAACTTGCGACTGTCTTGGTAATTTAGCGCCATGAAAAAATTTTTGTTCACAAACTACTGGAGAATCTTCATTAAATGAAGAAAGTGTGGACTTAGGACTTCTTTTAGTAAGAAACGGAAAGTATTTTTTCTTTGTTGAGTCAGTGTTCTCTAGGCTTAGCGAAAACATGTAGCAAGAATCGAGTTAGAATTCGCAAATAAAGTACTTGAGGCCAAATACTTTCTGAAAACCTTGTATATGCACGCGCCGTTGAAATTTACTCTTCAATATGTGCTTATGTGTGTTTGCTAAAACTAGAGAACACTGAGTCAATAAAGAAAAAAGAACAAAGAACATTTAAGGGATGCTATATATCTAAGCGCTTGACCATGGGTTTGATGGTTCAGATACGGATAACGGTGCAAAGTACAATTTCACAGTTTTGTGTGGTTTAAGCAAACCATGGCCAGATTCAATAATCGTAGCTCATTTCAGCTTTCTGCATTGCTATCCTAGCTGAGACTGCACCTTCGGACAGCACTACTGCGCCACCGACGACGACAACCAAAACTCTCCAACTTACCAAACTTAAGTTAGAACCACTGAAGCTGCCGGAACCATTGAAGCTTAAACCATTGAAGCTAGAACCATTGAAGCTACCAGAACCGCAGAAGCTTCCAGAGCCAAAGGATCTTTTAGACACATGTAAGCCCATTCGCCCTCACTTGATGTCTTGATGTCATGAACCAATTCTTTTCTGCATGGAGACCTGCAGAATTGAAATTATGGGAGGCAAGTCCTGAGAAGAAGAATAGTGTAAAAGCATTTAGTACTCAACAACAATAAACGCAACAAACGTGAAGAGGAAAGCAACTCGGCTACGAACAGCGACAAGGTAACCTTTCATAACCAAACTATATCTAGTTGGCTTCCCTCTAAATCGCAGATGGTCATGGCAGCTTTTTGGAATCCTTGTTTGCTTTCCCCACCCCAAATCCACTCCTCAGCTTTGAAGACGAAAAGAAAAGTTTTTTTTATTCCTTAGAATTGCGAAAAATTTTTGATCATAGCACCTTCCTTTAGATTTTCTCATGTCAGACACGCAACTGCTTTTGTTTTAAAGTGTAGAGGGATGCTTAATTGCGCAAACTGCGTAAGCAATATACATTTTGGAATTTTCAGAAAATGTGTAAAGGTTTCGATGTTTGCTCCAATCATGATGACTGCCATGGCGGTCAGTGCGTCGGCACATTCATCGGCAAATGTAACTGCAATGCCTGCATAGATTTCTGGCTGTAAGTTTGCTTTCTTTTTTTCAAAGCATGATCAAAAGCGAAATAATTGTCGAAGCAAAGTTGGAAAGTTGTTCAAGAATGTTTGGCACATCTGTCATTTCACCCTAAGCCCTATGCCAGTGTCGTACCAAGAGGGTGGGGAACATTGCCCCCCCCCTCCTTTCCCCCCGAGAATGGGTCGCGAAATTTATGTAATTTATGACATGTATTACAAAAATGTGCAGTGACTCGTTTTCACTTCTAAATAGATAAAATAGTCTGTTAAAGCTTCAAAAATTCAATAGCCTTGAGTTTTTTCGGGACGCCAACTTCTTCTAAGATTCTGGGGTGATGGACCCACAAAAATTTCAAGAAGCATCCCAAAAAAGTTACGGAATGGATGATCAACGCAACTTCATTCGAAAAGGAATTTTGAGCCTCCCCTCTTTCCCTCGAAAGGAAATCCTGAGTTTTCCATTGCCCCATACTTATATTAGGTTGTCCCAAAAGTAAACCGTATTTTTGAATAAATCAAACTGTTTAAGTTTTTCTGGTAGATTTGGGGTACCATTCGATAGAGCGAAGCAAGCTCTGCAAAATGGCCACCAAGGATCTGCCTAAGTCGCATTCCATGTAAAGTTTGTAGCCAAAATCGAAAAAAAATTTATTACCTGAAAATTGGATTTCTGCGACAAAGAATCCTACAGACTTCCAACTTGGTCATTATACAGTACCGAATATAGCACCGAATATATATGTTCGGATAATTTATTCGAAATATTCGACTATTCGAATATTCGAATAATCGAATATTCGAGGAAGTCCATTTATTCGATTATTCAAATAGTCGAATAAATGAGAAAGGCCTATATTCGAATAATTCGTTCATTCGACGATTTCGAAAAATGACTTATTCGAATATTCGTTCATTCGAGGAGTTTTAAAAAAGGTTATTCGAATATTCGTTCATTCGAATACTTTTTATTCGAATATTCGAATATTCGAATATTGCATTCAAATATTCGAGTAATAATCGAGCATTTATTCGAAATTAGTTCGAATATTCGATCAAGTTCGGTTATTCAAGTATTCGTTCATTCGAATTTTGGAATGTGCCAATATTCGAATATTCAAATTCGAATAAAATGAAAATCGAAAGTTGAATAATATTCGTTCATTCGAAGAATTTTCGAAAATCAAATATTCGATATTCATTCGTTCGAAAAACTTTCGAAAGTCAATTATTCGATATTCATTCGTTCGAAAAATTTACAAAAATTGATTATTCGATATTCGTTCATTCGGCGAAAATTTCTGCTCGTTATAACTATATTATACAGTAGGCACATAGTAGTACTCAAATATGCCTTTAGCGAATTTTTTCCAAGCACAGAAAGCGAGAAACAAAAACTATCCAAAAATGGCAAACTCTGCTCCAGCCTCTCCCACATATGTCATTGTATACTACAAGGATTTCAAAAACTTACCCCTTTGTGTGCTTTTATTAGGTCGGTGCAAAAGTTTTGTCAGTTTTTTCAATCCATCGGCAATCACGCTAGAATGAAGATAAACAAAGACTTCAAAATGTATCCGATGCAGAATTTCTTCCTCTTTCCAGCTGCTAAATTCCCATTGTGTTTCGTTGCGAGAGTGACGAGATATTTTCTGCAAATTACAACCGCTCGTTTTTACCATGTCCAAGTTTCGCTAATTTTTAATACTTTTGTATGAGACTTTCGAAGGAGATCTAAAAACCAGCAGATAGGGCTAACCTTTTGCCAACTTATGCAATTTTTTGTAGCCCTACAGCTTGTCTTTCAGAATTTCTACGATTTATTTTCTGAAGTGACTAAGTTATACATTCAGCCTATTTTCATCTCGTAGAACATAGAATGTTGAACACTTTAGTCACCATTCGATGCAGATCTTTCTCCTCTTTCTAATACTTGTCTTTTTTTTACGAGACAGGCGAAATTTGTGGGGAAAATCGCAGTATTTCTCAATTTCAGGAGTGCACAGGTGTAACCTATGTTTCAAAATCTTCATAATTTGAAGCGAAAATCGCTCCATAATTTGTAATGGTGGCGGTAGAAATAATCATGTGCTGAAAACTCAGTTTTCTTGAGGTTTTGCAGTATTTGGTGCAATAACAGGTTATGCAATTTTTCCAAAACACAAGACTTTTAGAAAATTACTTAGCAAAAATCTGGAAAAGCAGCTGATAAAAAGAAAAAAATTGCATAAGTTGACAAAAGGTTAGCCCTATCTGCTGGCTATTAGGGCTCCTTCGAAAGTCTCATACAAAAATATTAAAAATTAGCGAAAGTTGGACATGGTAAAAACGAGTGGTTGTAATTTGCAGCAAATATCTCGTCACTCTCGCAACGAAACACAATGGGAATTTAGCAGCTGGAAAGAGGAAGAAATTCTACATCGGATACATTTTGAAGTCTTTGTTTATCTTCATTCTAGCGTGATTGACTATGGATTGAAAAAACTGACAGAACTTTTGCACCGACCTAATATGTCCGAGAAATACCAAGTTTTACATAAAAAACCCGAAAAAAGTGGCATTTTGGCATTTTAGAACCCCTTTGCTTCTCAAATTTGAACTCCGGAAGAATCCAACCAAAGAATTTTTCGGTACCACTATGCGTCTACTATATAAGAGGACCAAGTTGGGAGTCCATAGCAATTTTCTGGAAGGAGATCCGATTTTTAGGATAGCTGAAAAATTTTGATTTTTGGATCTAAATTTTACCTGGATAGTTGCTTCCCTCTATCGAATGGTGCACCAAGTCCGCCAGAAAAACATGAACAGTTTGATTTATGCAAAAATACGTTTTACTTTTGGGACAACCTAATAGTACCAACTTTCAGTAGCGACCGAGGGAGGAGAATAGGTTGCGAAATTTTTAAAAATTGCTCAGGTGTCATAAGACTGCTCAAACTTGATTCATTTGTGAATAGTAAAAATCATTCTCGAAATGTTAAAAATTGTATTTGTTTTGTAGGTACGCAGAAATCCCAAAAAATTTTCCGGAGGCGCGTTGTACCCCTTCATCCGGAAAAGAAGATACCCTCCCCCTCCCCCCAAATATTCCTCGGATTGCCGCTACCAACTTTTTCGAAAAATAAAATGTGAATGTGAAAAATCGTAGCTAGCCCATAATGTAAAGCATGAACGACTTGAATTAGGCTATTTTTTTTCTCACTCGTTCCAAAGGGCAGTCATTTGAGAGTAAGAACGCAAATTTAAAACATGTTGTGTCTGCACATTTATGTCAAAATCACATCCAAATATTACTTTTATTCTCGTTTGAGAATTGTTTTCAGCTGTGAAAGTGATGCAGCGTGCGGTGGACTGAAAGGTGCTTGCAACAATGTCACGAAGCATTGCGACTGCAATGCGGTCAGCTATATGTGCATTTAGCTTGAAATTTGATACGGGATTTTTTCGATCATTTCAGGGCTTCAGAGCGGCTGGATTCCCACTTTACATAGATGCTCTTAACGGATTGTGCAATACAAAGAGCTGCACTACACAAAACGCAAACAAGGAATGCTTCGGATTGCCGTGTAATGTAGGACGATGCCTTTGCGGTGAAAAGTTGACAGATATCGTCGTGCTTCCTAAGCTTTTCACTGCTTAGATTTCTATTTATTGCATGCCAAAAAAGCCGTATGTGATTCTAAGCATTTTTACCCATTTGTATCAATTATAATAAACTTTGCATGGTATCGGAGGCTAAATGATCTATATTTGTGTGCTCTCGTGGCTGATAAACTGCATGGCAAAAGTCTTTGATTTTGCGGAAAAAAGACAGTGGAGAAACAGTGCCAAGCCCTAAGCCTTCACAACTGACAGCATTTCTTCATGTAATATGCTAGCTTTGGTTAGTGATGATATCACAACAAACACTCGCTGTTAACCTTCAATTTTGGTTGAACTCTTCGAATTTTTTTTAGGTTGGAACATAAGCGCTGCACCAAAATAACAAAAAAAAATATTTTAAAATTCTCAGAGCAGCGTTTCAATCTGCATAGTGGTTTTACACTGCATATGATTTAGTGCCTTATCGTAATAATATTAGATTTTCTCTCAAACAATACCAAAGCTCTAAAATAATTCGAAACTCACAACTTTGTCGAGACTTTCTATCAGCACAAACTTAGTTTTGTGAAAAAGCGTAGATTGTAAAACTCGAACAAAAAGTGAATTCGGAAATCCCTGGTTTTTAAGCATTTTTAGGGATTGAATGTTACAAAAACGCAATTTGAGTGCTTGCATCCTACAAGTTCTGTTACCCCGATATGACAGCGATGGAAAATTTCAAAGTGGAAAGTTCTTGCTTTCTAAATTTTGATATTATCTGCAGATTCATTGACCCTGGAGGGATTGTGGATTTTTAAAATAACTGATGCAAGACTTTACTTCCATCCTAATAGATAGTACATTCAGCATGCTGTGATAAATGGCTTGAGCTATTTAAGTCAGTATGTTTTGTGCATTTCGTAGATGTACAGTAAAGTAGACATGTATGGGCTGTTTTCTGGTGTTGTTTGTCCAAACAACAATGGCGAAGCTGTCTTTCATTGAAAACCCCAAAGAAGCGGAACCAACAAGGAAGCGCTTGTATGTATGTTCACTTCACATATGGAGCTCTTCCAGTGCTGTATACCGTAGTGCTGATTATTCTCCAACATTTTCCTTCCTCTGTGCATTGAAAAGATATCAGATTCGGAATGATTAAAAATTCCATTTGTCTGCTGCTTTACTGGTACAATATCAAACAAACTTTACACCTAAACCCGTTCTGGACTGTATATTCTAGAAATTATTCTTTTCATTCCTCAAGAAGCGGATGGACAATACATGAGGGCACTTCAAGAATACTTCTATCAGCTGAAGCACTAAAATGCTTTACTTTGAAATGCTAATTGGAACATGTTTTTCGAGATATTTATAGCTTGGGTTGATTTTTCTGACCCTAATTCGTAATTTATTGAAAACTGTAATTAAAATTAAACAGATTCCTAATTTCGTCTCTTTCCCCCACTAGACTCAAATCAGTCACAGATTACGATCATTTCCGGTCATTTGTAGTGAGGGAAAATCGTCTGTTACTAGAAAATAATTAGAAAAGCGAACTGACCTTACCCGCTTTCTCCCTTCATCCTAATGGGGATCAAACTTGGATTATTGATTAATTTGTAAGCGAGCTACTTGACATTGCCTCAGTGGAAAAAAATAATGATTGAATCTCCTAAGTTGCAAGACGAAGAAGAGTGAAGCTGTCTTCATTTCTGGACGATAATGTAGGCTCTTTAGCTTCCATGCAGTGGTCCTTTCCATTTTCCATTTCCATAAAATTTAGTGACCTGAGAGACAAATCGGTCCAGAAGTTTCCCGAGCAATATTCCTTTCAGTCATCCTTTTTTAAATGTGAAGAATCGCATACATTAAGGGTGTTTCACATGAAATTTTATGCAAAAGAACCATAATTTTGCATAGAACAACCAAATTGCAAAGGGTTAAATACAAGTGATAGCTATGAAACTTTTGCATAGCTCCTACTGTCATGTCTGAAAATGTCCTCATCTCACCTAATACATTCATTTAATCACTTTCGTGAATTTTCGGATGCTCGGTATGCTGCTTGAACGGATTTGCCTTATCTGATAAGTTTTGAAAGGGGCAAATTATGCACTTTGTAGCAGCGCCTGAATCAAAAAGAAACTTTGCGTTTTTCTTAGATCCTGGTCAATAATCAAAAGCACTTGGATTTTGTAATTTTCCAATAGCTCATCAACAATACCTCCTCTTTCGGAAATAAAGCATAATAGGAAGGACAACTATGGAGAAAACTATTTATGTCATTGCGAATCAAAAAAGAGGACAATGAAAAGTTGAGAGATGATTTGTTAGAAAGCCCGTGACAATTCTTGGACCACCCTGTAGAAGTTCATAAATTTTCTTAGAAATATCTAAATGCTGCGAAAATACTCGAACAATACAAGAACTGGCAGAGATTCTGGCACTTATCGTTTCGTCGAGAATCCATTGCAATTGCTGTAGATAAGGCAAAAGTAAGCCGCCTGTGCTTCTGGCAGATTTGCCGTTGAGATGTTTGGGAAACAGCAGAGAGACATGCGTCACTTTTCATCGAATTTTTTTTCTGTATTCTCGTTCAATGTAATAATCGTACGACTTGATTGTTTCTGATCAAGACGACATTTCATTGTAAATCATTGAAAAAGAGTTTTTGCTAGTCAACTCCCTTCAGTAAAGCTTCATATATAAAGTTTGATCAGCTGCAGCCTGTACGAGTTCTTGTCTTGCACGATACTCCGATCAGTTTCATTTCCATTGTCAGTGCAAGCGCGAACAGATGTTTGTCGCTGTGATAATCGAGAAGATACTTGACGATTGTAACATATAACTTGATGTTGGCGTTTTTGCGAAAAAGAAACTTGTCTGTGATGTTTTTACACTAACTGCACAAGCGCTTTTAACCGCGAAAACCATAAAAGCCCGCTACATTTCTGCACGGCCTACAGAGCAAACTCCAGCGAGGCTACTGTACGTCTTTTATTCCAAGTCCCACTGCGACAAGGTATCACAAATGCAGTTCACCGCTAAGAAAATTGGATTTAGCCTCAGCCAGCTTCTTTGCAGGTATGTTACCCCTTTTATTGCAAAACAAGGCTAAGCGCGCCATGTGAATTGATTTTCACGAGAGAAATTTGTTGAAGTTTGAACTAAAAGACTTGCAAAAATGGAGTGATTCAACACTAGTCCCTTTTTTAGGAATCACTTCAGCTTTAGAGCGAATGATTGCTCCATGCAATAAAGACTGTTTATACAATCCTCTAAAGATGTAGACATTTCTGACAGGCCTTTTGCATTTAGAAAATAATCCAAAGGACACATGATTTCATGAGAGCTTGAAGATTTTTGGAATGCGATTTCGAAAAAAGAATTGATAAGGATCCTGACGAAAGGAAGCGGCTAGTTTTTTGCCAGTTTTTTTTTGTAAATCTGGAAGTATCATTCATGAAAGTAACTGTGAAGCTTGTTATGTTGAGGAAGCATGAAATGTACATGAAATGTAGAGCCTACTAGTGGCCTGAAGGAGGCGGGGGGGGGGAGGGAGGGAGGGAGGGGGAAATGTGACAGAAATGTGGTTTACATAGGCAATAAAATTAACAAATTACTCGTTCTTGCTTGTTTTTTAATTCAAATTGACTTTATGAAATGATTTTGCGAGGGTTACAATCTCCCGAAAAAAACTTCGAGGACAGCCGGTGCTTCCTGTCTTCGATAATTTCTCTTTATGTCCTTCTTTGATGTATTGGTGTCCAGAGTAGGCTCTACAACGACTGGTCAAGGCAAGAGCGCTTGAGCCAAATGTGACATAGTTAGCTTACGTGAATAAACAGCAGTTTTCAAAATTAGTTGGCAAGGTGCCAGCAGATGCCATAAAAATGTTTAGCTTTTTCAAAATTTTGAAATCTATTCTAGCTTGAAGACAGTTCACAAGTACGAAGTCTTCTCGTGGTCTCCGCTCTGCAGCAGCCTTGCATATCATGGGGACCGTTGCTTCTCCTTTTTTGACTGTCGTATCTTTGATCCCTTCCTCCGCTTCCGTCCTCCTAATTTCGCAGCAGATTTTTTATAGCGCTTCTAATAGAAACATAACAAAACATACTTTCGTTGCAAAACCAAAGATCCCAAGTCTCGCGTTCTTCAAGCCTTGCCATGAAATGAAGCTCTGGAAAGTTTATAACAAGCCAGGGTACTTTATAAGCAGCGTACTCAACGATCACTTTCAGCAAACACCAGTGACTCGGTAATATGTTCAGTGTAGTTTCGCAACTTGCAACTGATCAAATCATAGAATCTATGCGCCTATTTGACGAACAATTGTAAATAAAGTCCAGTTTTTATGTTCGAACGCAGGTAACCTTGTTAGGTATTTGATGCATGAAGTAGGCCAGCGCTGTACAAAAACGCGCATTGTGTACCCATTCTGCAAAGTTTTGATATAGAAAAACTACAAGGACTTGTTGTGGTTCTGTGATTCTGATGAACCAACAAACACTTATATAACTACATATAGAAGCTTTTCTATATGTCTGAGATAGTTGATGCTTTTGGCAGTTTTTTGCTCCTCCGTTTTTGAAAGGAAAAAAAGCTTAGCCCTTTGGAAAAGTCCACCTTGGAGAATAATCAAGCACTGAATGACCTTACCATGATTGCAAAATTTCCCATTCGACGTTTTGGGGGTGGATCAATAGTTCGATTATCTCCATTTTACCGTGTAAAATTCATAGCTCATCTAGAGGTATCAAGACTAGAGTCTTCAAACAAAATCTCGTGGGGTCAACTTCAGTGGTATTTTCTGGAAACCCACCTGAAAACGCACGACCATTTCACGTATATGGACCCTTAGAATTTTTATTTGTCTGTTTCAGTCATCGTCTGTTTCATCTCTATTATGAAACAGACAATGAGAGGCAAAAGTTCAGATAGTTCAAGTCCCAACAGTGACGTTATTTTGCTGATCTCGAAAATATTTCCAATCAACTTATTTGAAATTCACTTCTCAATGGGGAAAATCGATACTAGTTTTAACAAAGCAAGAGTCATGTGCTATATTCATGGCTAATTTTTCTATCCCATATATACTGGACGCAACTTGTAGAAAAAATTCTCGAAATCATTTCATTTTGGGGCAGACTCAAGATTCACTAGTCCACTAGTATTTCCACAAATTTGCTTTTAGATGCCCTCGTTTACATTTTCTTTGGATTATAGCGTGCAAAAACCGATCCAAGCAGTTTTGGGAAGCACCTCAGAATACTGAAAGTGAATTGCAAGAGAATGTTGAACTTCCTTGGGAAAGATTAGTTACCCGAAAACAAAAGTTCGAGGGACATTACGATATTGCTTATTTTGTGTGATAGAATCGTACTCTCTTCGGCCTTTCTACATTCCTTTACTTGAAGGGCAAGCGGACATTGACTCCAGTTGCTGTGTAAGGCTGTCTCCCGTTTGTCTGACTCTCGTGACAAAAAGAATTTTTGGATGTCCAGCGTTGTTTATGAAACTTTGTACACTTCCTGGTCCCGGTGTAGACAAAGCGATTTTATCTAATCCTCTTACGTTAGAGATTTGAACAGCAAGTGCAACGGAATAAATGAATTTATGATTCTGAGTTGATCAATCAAATTTTTTCGAGATTACAACCTCCTCCTATCAAGAAATGCTTTAGAATATGTTCCCTCCCTGATATTTCAACTTTAGAAGAATTATTTTTTTTATCTGAGTTTGAGTGGTGAATGAATATGTTTTTATGTAATACCGTATTTTTACAAGTTCCATGATTTGTTCTGAAGCTTTTCCAATACTTCAATGTTGAATTCAATATTTTTCAACTATTGTTATCTATTCTCCGTGCTTTTCTCGTAATCACCACCCGGGTCTCTTTCTGTTATACCCAAAATTGGCCTGAACAACTAGACTGTCATCGTAAAAAAGAAACTTGTAGGAAGTGCTTAGTTTTTTCCACCATTTAATCAGTGACCGGTCTTAAATTTCCGAAATTGAACAACCGGAAGCATCATATTAGAAAGAAACTTTTACTTTGAACCAATCACAGGATTCGTAAGCTGAGCCTACAGTAGGCAAGCTTAATCTTCATCCATAATGGGTTGGCTTCTTTGGTTTGTTGGGAATCAAAGCCCCAACTACACCAAAATTGGGCTTGTGATAATCTCACAAGAAAAAACATTAAGGTAACATTAGAGCTCACAGACTTCCCGTGAACAAAAATAAGGGCGAGATGAAATTTACAAGGTACCAAGCACTTTAAAAGTCGTAATTTAGCCGAATTTAGCGAGAAAGGCTAGAATTCCTTTTTATGACCTAATGCGCAAGTTAACAGTCATGCATGAAAAAGTTTTTTTGAAACAAAGTTCACCGTCAGCAACTGTCTATGTTAAAAGTTACGCTTTTCACAAATCCACGGGATTGGATTTATACATCTAAAGCACGCGATCGAAATACAGGGAACATACAGGGTGTCCAAAAAAATGTATCGAACGTTTGATCGTTAATATCTCTCTTCTCTAGAAGACTTTTGTCTTGCTTCAGGTACCGTTTTGTAGAGCTGGCTTCAACTTAGATTTGCATTATAAAACGAATCACCTATCTCTCTTCATTACTGTAGGATTACGGTAGAAACTTGAAATATATGGGGTCATGTGGAAAAAGCTGCCGTTTCAAAATTTTCCAGAAAAAATGTGAAAACTTGTGTTTTGCGGTTTTTATGGACGCTGAGTTCGATACTCAACTATTTACAGGATTACGAAGCTTTCTAAACGGTGTAACCGCACTTTTTAGGAACATTGAAAAAATGGCCGTTACCTCTTACCTGGCATAACTCTTCAATGAAGCACCATAATAAATTGGGAACTTTACAGTTATAATCAGCAACTCTAATTGCCTAGTGTAAAAGTTTTCAGGCTGTTTTGTTTCCTTTCTGGGGCAAAATATGGCCTTTTATTGCTTAAAACCCTCTTTGAAGTTTCTACCGTAATCCTACAGTAATGAAGAGAGATGAGTGATTTGTTTTATAATACAAATCTAAGTTGAAGCCAGCTCTACAGATTGGTACCTAAAGCAAGGGAAAAGACTTATTTAGAAGAGAGATATTAACGATCAAACGTTCGATACATTTTTTTGGGACACCCTGCATACCCAAAAGTATGTATACACTGTTCGTTCGTTAATATCTCTTTTCTCAAGAAGTCTTTTGCCTACCTTCAGGTACCATTTTGTAGAGCGAGGTTCAACTTAGATACTATATGGAGCGAATCATCAGTCACTCTTTATTACTGTAAGATTACGGTATGAACTTTCAGATTACAGCGTCCTAGTGGATTAATCGTGTTTCAAAAAATTTTCCAAAAAATCTGAAAAGCGGTGTACCAGGGTTTTCACGCGCGCTAATTTTCTTACTTAACTTTTTAGAGTTCTGTAAAGCTTTTTAAATGGTGTAAACACGATTTTAGAGAGCATTGTAGAAACAGCTGTTGCGGTTTACTTGGTATAACTTATGAAGGTAAATTGCGGTAGTGTGCAAACTTCATATTTGGATTTATTGGCTCGAATTAGCCTAGTATAAGAGTTTTCAAGTTGTTTGGTTTGCTTTACGAAGCGGAATAAGGCCTCCACTGGCTCACAACCGTTCTTGAAGTTTTTGCCGTAATTCTACGATAATAAAGAGTGATGGGTGATTCGCTCCATACTGTGAATCTAAGTTGAAGCCAGCTCTACAAAATAATGCCTGGAGGAGGCTAAACTCTTCTTGGAGAAAGAGATATTGACGATCAAATAGTGTATGCATACTTTTGGGACACCCTGTACATGCTTATGAAAACACAGACGCGAATTAGTTTACCTTTTAGTTCTGCTAATGTATTAGCGCAGTTACTGTGTCCTATATTTGCGTAACAACATTGTTTTCACAAGCAGAATCATTTATGCAAACATTGGCGCGCATGTTCACAATTGTTTTACGACGTTGTTAACCTTTCGGTGATCTTTTCGCTATGGTTACTGATCTTTCCTTTTTGGTTCACGCTGTTCTATCTTAGCGTACTTTGATGAGTCAGGGCAGGCAGGTATATTGTGACTTCCTTACCAATAAGCTGACCATGCTCAAAGCAAGAATCATCTTAGGGAGTTGGATCAGCTGGTAGAATAGAAGACAGAATTTATGCTAAATGTAGAACTAAAAGTGAAAAATAGCAGAAAGAAAGAGATAGTATAGATGTGGAAATAGTATACTTATATAGATGCAAAACAGGGAAAAATCTCCCAAGAACAGACTTTCCCATAGAATTGTCTTCTCTCTGTACAGCTATATAAGCAAATATTAGACCTATTTCCATATTTTCTAAGTCAAAAAATTGAAGATAATTTTGGGTAGATCGAAGCTAAATATTACGTAGAAACAACATGCAAGTTCATAGCCTTTGACAGGTACACAGAAAGTTGAGACTTATCGGCTTGTAGGAAAAGCTGTCACACCAAACTTGGAAAAAATAGATAAAAAAGATATCGTGAATGGCTTCCTTCGATCGATACTTGTTTTTCGATACATAGACCACTAAGAAGTCATTTCTGTATATACAAGCCCAATTATGAAGATATAAGAGTGTCCCAAAAAATAAGCACACTGTTTGGTCGTTGATAACTCGCTTGCTTCGATTCTTTCTCTGAGATTCAGGTGCCATTTTGTAAAACTTGTTCAACTTAGATTTGCAGTACGGGACTGTTGGACTACATTATGGGCTTTCAGCATAGAGTGTTATTATGAATTAGGCTGCTTGATAGAGAATTTCGAAAATCGGAAAATTCTGTAGCAGAGTTATCATACTAATTTCATTACGCAACTTATTACAAGGTTTCTGGACTGTTTAAGAGGTGTAATCGCATTTTTGAAGACCTGAAAGAGTCGTTGTTACTGTACTTTTAAAAGTAACATGTGAACGAATTGACCGATCGTGGCTAATAAGAGTCGCCAAATTCCATATCTGGGATAAGCAACTCTTACTAGCCTAATATGAGAATTTTTGGCTTGGCTTTCTTTCTGAGCCAGAAAGCGACCTCTAACGGCTCGCAACCCTCTTCAAAGTTCCTACCATAATCCTGCACTAATGAAGAGGGATTTTTGATTCGCAACATATTGTGACTCTAAGTTGCAACCAATTCTACAGGATGGTACTTAAGCTTCTCCAAAGGCTTTATGATGAGAGTTATTAACAAGCAAGAGGCAAATGTTTTGGACACCCTGTATTATAGCCGCTAAGGATATATCTCAATAGGGCTAGCTTTTATCTCAATTTCTGTGGCAGATAGAGGTAGAACCCATGGTCAGTTCTGCAACAATGACTAGAGTGACTAATTCATTCAGCTCTGAGTGATAGAACCCATTTTCGAGCAAATCCACTACAATCCCCTTGTTAACATCACTTTTGCTGACGATGAAGTGGTATGGTAATGATAGACGGTTTTGCGTGTTTTCCTTGCGCCATTTTTCTTTTCACTTCTCATATCGCTTGCAGACCTAGATATTTGTGAATAATTAAACATCAACATCCTTACTGTAAACATTTCCTAAGAGTGATCTGTTTTTTATCTCAAAAAGCAATACTGATCTTTTATGCTAATCTGTCTTGCACAACTTTTCGTTATTCTAGTATCAAGACAATGGCCATATCTTTATTTTGCAGAAAGCAATTCTGTTCATGCTACTCAATTTTGAGAGCTATTCATGTAAAATGCATGGATTTCAAAGGGTTGGACTTTGTAAAACATATTAAAAAAATACTGCTCCGACAACACGTCAAACTCAAGCCCAGTACCTGCGACTAGGTAATTTCATTTCATTTGATACTTGTACGCGTTGTAATTTTTCTGCTTCCAACTTTTCTGAGATATCAACAAAGGAGGTATGTTCACACCTTGAGAAACGAATAAATTTGTGCTTATTTGCGCATTAAATCTTTTTGCTTGAGCTGAGTTCAACAATTTTAGCCTAACCCACACTATAGAAGAACATAACTTCTGCTCAGTCTTCCTTTCTGGGAGTCCCTAGAATATTCCCGAAGATCTCAAATATGGGATCCAGAGCTGATATCTGTACATCGCATCTTTCTCACCTCGTTGGCCTCGAGTGCACATCATAGTACTATTGTTTAGCTGGCATACTCCTACCTCGGTCCTTTAACTCGATTGAAAAAAATGCTTCCTTCTGTATATTTGTGTCTGAATTTTCTAAGAGATATAACATTCATTTCTTCATTAATGGTGAAAGGTCAATGGTGTTTCAGCTTACAAAATGAGTAAATTTTTCTCGTGTCATTTGAAAGATGTTTTTTTAAGAACATAAATTCACAAACTTGCTGGCGAATGGTAGATTGCTGACAAAGCAATCGAACTTTTTAAGCTCATACTTCAAAATTATGAACAACATCGTGATGAATCGTGCGTAAATGCTGCAAAATACAATTAAGTTTTTTCCTTACTTAACACATTGACGACCAAGGCGTTTCACGGACCGGTCAACATTTTTTAGATAAGACCACGCGCAATTTCATCTACCGTACACCCCCCTTCAGTAACTCTGAAATGCTGGCAAAAACAGTAAAGTTTGTGTCTAGATCTAGTACAAAAGAGAACTCCCGGAGTGGGTTTAACACAAAATAGTAGCCATTTCAACGATGCACATGGTATGTCAAGCCATGACACACCATGTGTGTCAAGTGGTCGTCAATGTCTTAAACTAAGGCATTTATTCAATCTTATCAAAAAAAACTTTCAAAATTCATTAGAGGAAACATTGTTCTCATTCAATTACAGTATGCCACCTCTGCTGGAGCCTGATTTTTGTACTTTGTATCAGAAGGGCATGCCATCGACAAAAAGCTTAGAAAGTGGAAGTATGTCTTATGATTTGAGTGTGACAGTTTTAGCTGAAACAAGGATTAGGAGGGCAATTCATCAAACAAAAAATCAGCTAACTATTCCCATCGCAATTGCGCAATCGCTTCAGGTTAAACAATTACCGACGCACTGTTTCACCTCTGTTTACTCAATCTTTCTGATCAAATGCACCCACTCATCACTATAAGCTCCCAGTAGGTCGGAGGTGAAAGGTCGTGGAACTTGCCGTCACTCGGGAACCTATAATTTTCCGCTCAGGTTCACTCAGAGGCGGAGTTTCGGCGTTTTGTGATGGCAATGCCAGGAAACATTCCACCTCATGAACTTCCCACATACAATACAATGAACTCGTTCATTTGGCAAAGTAAAGCCCCATCCATATAATAGGGCCTTTTGTCAGTGTCTGTTCTCTACAGTCCATTGTTAGCTAACCTTGGTTTTTCCCGCCTTTCTTCATCGTCTGACCTCACCTTTTCTATGGGAAGTCAGCTGATCGCGATCTTTGTAAGTAACCTTGGGTAAGCAAACTTTGTAACCTGAGAACTTCCTATTCTTCTGTTGGATTTCCCGCTTCTATCACAGATGTTTATCTACAGATCAGAGCACGAAGAAAGGAAAGTTGGGCAAAAGGGGGTCTATTATATAAAAATCGCAAGAGGAATCGTCATTTTCATAATCTCCCGAACAGACACATTGATCACAACGCTGCTTTGCACCACTCTTTTTACTTTTACCAGTTTTTCTCTTAGATTTGAAGTTTTATGCCATTGTAAAGGAAAATGGGAGGTGACTCACATATTCGTCAACTATCACTCTACTCATCCTATGCCTCTATATAACCTCGTCTCGCCCGCCAACATATTCGTATAGTAAACCATTTCCCAATTTCTATATTTTCCTCTTTCTCCAGGGCTTTGTCCCTACATAATGAACGTTTTATAGAACACGTAGGGGCCAAACCGGTTTTTTTCGTAACCTACAAGACCTTGATAGACCTTGATACCTTTCCAATGCATATGGTTTTTGTGTAATAGGTTCGCTGATGGCACTTGCAACACATGGTTTTTTTTTTGAATTTCTGGCTGAGAGGTCCTATCGTTCACATCCTAGATTATCTCCTCGCGAGTTGTATTTAGCGTAATTTTCATCAGAAAGAGAAAATGAGACAATCGGTCCAGAGAAATTTGGAGTTTTCTGGAGTTACAATGACCTATCTAATAGAGTTCATTATTGATACTTGTGTTGTCTCTTACTCTATTCATTTTACACTAACATCTGAATATTTAAAGTTGTCGTGCAAACGGTTTTTGCGACACATTTGTGTGGCAAGTAAAAATAAAATAGAAAACAATATAGTTGACCATTAAGGAACTCTATTAAATTATGTTTACTAAAACCTCCTCTCTTGCACTCTTTCTTATATCCTCATATTCCGCTTTACATTCATCTTTCGCTATTTCGCTAAGTTAGGATCTCGCCTTTTTGTCCTTTGCGCAAATGTAAATCTTGATTTACCCCTAATTCAAATATATCTGGGTTAGAGGTAAAGGGTGAGGCATGTGAAGCATATGTCCCTTGTCGACTGTAGAAAAAGTCCAACCAAGTAGAAGTCATGCTGCTTCTACAAGATCTTGGTAAATATTATCAAAACCCCTGCTTTCATGCTCATGTCCCTTTTGAAACTGCTACAAAGGTCGATTCATAAGTATCTGCTGAGTCACAAGTGTCCTTGAATCTCCTGACCTTACACAATTCTTTATTGTATAGCATATCTTTTTATATAAATACCTGTCGCATACCATCCAGAAGGCCTATGAACTAAATCCTTTTGTCTAATGATTCACTATTATTCAGCTGTGTTTGCCAAATTTGCACTTTCTATACTTTTCTGGTTGTGTTAAACAATCCTAGTGCACTCATATTCACTTTTTCTGTATTCTAGGATGGTTAGGGTGGAGGACAGCAACTCCGATGGACGGCGAGGATCGCCAAGTGAGGTGTTCTCTCAAGAAATCAACTCTGCGCATCGGAAATCAAAAGACGACTCAAGGTATGTTTGGATCTGTGGGTATGAATCAACTGATTTTCAAATCACTCAAAGCTGCGGACATGCATGTTTTTCGGAGCTGAAAAAATCCATTTTCCTAAAGAAGTCCGAGTCGAGAAGATCTTTCCTAGAACTGATGCAAGCTAACTTTTCTTGAGAGTGGTATGATTGTCGACATTGATTTTATCGCCTGAAGAGTTTACGTAAAACTATGATTTAGGCAGAATTATGTCGTGTAATAATTTTTACTTAATTCCAACAAAGACCCACAAATGCAGAGTTAATGCTCACGTAAACTGATTTGAAAATTAGTCCTGCATGTGATAGTTTCTGGCAAGAGCTAGGGTATCTGTTTTTGCTTGGGTTTGTTGTGGTCAAGTGAGCTTGAAATAAGTGCGAAACTGGTGCATTCAAGGATCTCGAAATCTGAGATTTGTTTTGATGATCATTTTAAAAACTACTTGCTTGGAACTACCCATATCTTAATTCAAGCGTATGATCGGAGAAAAGCAATCGTAAGTCGTCTAAATCCTTTCAAGATTAAGACGAAAAATTGGCGTCAAAGCTGAACCACACTTTTCACGAGGTTCAAGAGAAAGTTGTGCCTAGAATGCCGATTCTAACAACAAGACTCAAAAAATTTCAAGAATGGAAAAGGTGTTTTAGAGGTGTAAAGGACGGCACAAATCTATAGCCAATCTCTTATCACTTTAAGAGTTTTGAAAAACAATGGCCAATTTCTCGTTCTTTTTGCTTTATTAATATTCACTGCATTACCGGCAATTTTTTTTCGTTTGAAATCGCACAGCGCAATTTCCATGCACCATTGATCGCGAGATTCACTCTGCCGTAATCATTCCGTACGAAAACTTTCCGAGAACTTCTTCATCATTTCTTTAGCATTCGCTGCAACCGATTTTGAGTGTTTCCAGTGTCTCCACCACTTTTCCAGCACACTGTTTGTCCTTTCGCTCGCTGACGTTGACACATGCAGCCGCTCTTGGCCTAATTTTCGCCGGATATAGATTTATTCTGCTGACCTCATAGCTAGTCCAATTCCCCTTTACTTTTCGTACTCTGATCTGAATTTCTGAGTTCTATGACCTATTATCGGCGAAGAACATCACTATTCAATATTTGCAGAATATACAGGATAAGAAGGTAATCCTATGCTCTTTTCTATTTTATTTGCTGATTCTACAAAGCACCTGAAGGTTGTACAAATTGTTTTGCACTTGATGTTTACTAGAAAAGCATGCGGAAACCAAGCTTAGGTTAAAATCGTCCTTGTAGTGATGTTTAGAGAAATGCACTTTCGTTTATTGATATAAAATGGCGAAATCTTTTGGTGGAAGAATGCCAGGAAGTTCGAGATTTGGCTAAATTCGGACAAAATCCCTTTGCGATATATTTTTAGAACAATCGGGTTATTGATCAGACTGTACGCAGCCGCACATTTAGCGCTTTTCATCGACTGTCACGTTCCAATTTCACTGAATTTCTCTCCTTATTTATTCCTTCCCACTTTTCACCTCCTTACCTCATACTTGAACGAATAAGCATAAGCTTTTGTATGAAGGATGCCTCTTGACGCTACTTTGGGTTCCCAACTAGTTTCTATTTGCTTAGATGAAAAGAATTTCGTAGTTAATGGTCAAAGCTCTCTGGGTAATCATATGAGCTCATACTAAGGGGACTGACGATGATGCGACTGCTTATGGAATTTTCATGAATTTGGTTGCCGACAAAGAATGCACTCAATTGATCCCATAGGCAAAAATCAAAATCTAGGCGGTTTATGGTAATTTTATACGCGCATGTTATTTACATTACAAACATGGTATGTATATCACGCAATTGATGTGGTGTAGGTGCATCCATTATATGAACCTACATACTAGAGTATGGGGCCTCCATTTGTGAAGCCAATCTGCCTTTACTCAAATTTTGCAAAATTCTATACAGGCAGAACGAACGCTAGCACCCTGATCTTAGCGTGATCACCTAAACAACGTACTTGCATATAAAGAAGCTACATGGTCATGAAAAAAAATCAAGGAATTTTAGCTTAGGGGTGGCGAGCAAGAGGAACGATAGCTGGTGGGTATCAATAACTCGCGCATACTTCTCCGTCATTTTTGTCCATCAGCACACAGAAATTTAGAGCATTTCCTTCTTTTATGCTTTTATCTGGACAGGAGGATCGGATAGATTGTGTTTGCTTGAAAATGAGGTGTGAAAATTAGCTGAAAATGTCAAAAGAGGGTCTCCAAGGTGAAACTCGAAGGCAACTGAAGGCAAACAGTGCATTGGCACCAGCGGCTGGCAATTACTATCGTTCCTCCTGCACCACACCCTTAGCTTAGAAGCTACGCTCACTTCATTTTCCATTATAAAAGCAAATTCCATAACTAGTGGTTGTTTCAATCTACTCATCAGTGAAAATGACTTGCGCGCAGTTTACTTTTTGCTATCTGAGAGCGATGCTACTAATTTACTCAGCTCCAAAGTAAAAGCTGATGTTAGCCGTTACAAAAGCAGTATAATCAGGCTTTTGGTGCCATCCTATTTATGTGCACCAAAAGCCTGATTTTCTCCAACAAAATCAGGCTTTTGGTGCACATAAATAGGATGGCGACCTTATCCCTTGACAGAACCATGATATAATTATGAATATCCATAGTGTACACCAGCTAAATATACTAATCATGTTCACTTTTTTTACAGTGCAATAATCGCGTTAGGTCCACTAGCTCAATTTCTTGACTCAGTACTGACCTCTTCAGCGATTGCTCATCTTGTTTAGGATATGAAAAAAAATTGACCATCTAAAATTAACTTTTTTGCGCAGATTGGTAGGAGAACTACAAAACCAGACAGTTAAAATTTCTAAATAAGTTATATCCCAATGGGATCATTTGAACAATTTCAGTTGAAAATAGGCCAAGCGCAAGTCAAGTTGGCTCTGGGGTTTCATGATAAGCTTCTAAATTTGTCGAAAAGAACTCTGAGCTGAAACTCTTCAACGCCACAGCCAAAAATGAAGCCAAAATTTTGTCGTCAAGCTCATCATAAGGAGGATACTGTAGTCCATTTTCTTAGATCTGTTATCTATGCAGTATTGCACTTGTAGTGCTAGAGTCCCCCACAACGTACGTGCCATGTGCGTAAGGACAAAACATTTAGGTCATGATGAATCTGGGACAAAGTTCCGGATAATTGTTTGACTCACTCATCGCTGAGCGGTCGAGAAAAAATGCCAGCGATCGTGGTACTTTTGCCTAAGTGCTCGCAAATTTGATGGAGCCCATCCAAATATGCGCTATAAGGCCATTCAATCAAAGACCAACTAAGGAGCAGTCTCGTAAAATTCTTTTTGGTACTGTCAGAAATCCGGTCGTCGAGTAATCAGAAAATGCCGTAAAAAAAGCCCTCGTACCAACTGACAGCGGCGTTTCCTACATTTTATGAAGGAAGTGACTAAATCTGGGCACTTTATATGATTGGCAATCGCCTAACGATAAGCGAGCTGTTGCTAAGGATCATAGCTTACATCCTGACCGTGCATGAAATGTATAAAGCCACATCAAGAACGCACATATGAGAAATGACTTACATCTCTGTGCTGTCTGACAAAAATATGACGTAAGTTCTAAGCATTTTTTGAGTAAGAATATTTGAGACTTTTTTAAGCAATTCTTGATCCAGGTCGCATACAACTAAATCGAGCATTTTCCTTTGGTTTTCTTCGTTTCAATTATTTCTTCAATTCGCCTTTGCCGAAAATCAAAACATTTAAATCGTTGTTGTTCAAGAAGCATGAGTTCACTTTTATTTCCATATTATTGTTCATAGTACAGATGAATAATTTCCATCATTATTGTTGAGATCATTCATGGTTAACAAACAAATTCGTACTCTAAACAAAACATCAACTTCGCATCATAGATTGACGTTTTGGAATTTGAATGATTTATATTACTTGCGCTGACATGAAGTGACGCACATTTTCTAATATAATGCAGTAGTTTAGGTTCTTTCTAAAAAGACGACAAATTGTTCTGTTTTACATGAAACTTCCATAAATCTATTCCATGCCTTCTTTGGTGAGCAGCTAACTTTGTTCATATATTTTCATAATTATTCAGTCGCGCAGTGCATAGATTTCTGATGACTGGTTTATTAACTTACGATTAGACGTAGCTGTCAGTATTTGAGGCTATATTACCGAACCAGAATTGCATGTTGAAAGATGATGGTGAAAAGTTATTCAACACCACAGGTTGTCTTAAGTTCTTCAATACAGACGAAAAAAGTTGCGAGATTCATTGTATTGGCGGGAAAACGACATTCAAGTTGAGCATTTGAAATTTGTTTGGAACTTGAATGTATTCTTTTTCTAAATCGGTGCGCAGTTGGGATTATTTGTTAGGTTTTTAAGATCGAAAAAACGTTTTGCTCTAGATTCTCGTAAAGTTTTCGTTTCAGATGCAGTCGATCCGTTGCCATTGGTCTCGGTCTTTTAGCCACAGTGTTTCTTCTATCCACAATAGCTCTAGCTATCGTTGTTGGAGTCAAGTACTCGAAGGACAAAGATACCCTAGAAGACGCCTTGAATCGAGTGAGTTCTCCTCTACAAACTGACTTTTCAACATCCACGATGACATAATCGACAATGGCCATTGTTGGCTCGATGTTGTATGATTACGCCTCGCTGTAGATCGATATCTAATGCAAAACTAGTACCTATAGACATCGAGGTCTCGCAAATTGCGATAATAACACTCGGGGGGCGATTTTCATTCGTGATTCGGGGATTATCGATTAGATGACGTCCGCGTGAAAAAATAATACCCGAACACGGCAGCGATAAATGTCCGAAAATGATTTGCGGGGGACGGCAATGAAATTTGTCCAAGTTGGATAGTAAGTCACTTTCTGCTGGAATTATAAATATGTTTTTGTGTTGAGGTACGGTAATAGATGTCTCTGTACGAAGAATCGATCACAGTGGTGATTAGAAAGAAGATTTTTTATCTTTGGACATTGGTGACGATCCCAGAAATTCTTCTTGGGGGACGGGGACCACAAATTTTTTCGATTGGAAAGTGGTGGCACCGCGCACCGGAAAATTCTAATATAAAGTTCTTCAAAAGATTTCGAAAATTAGTTCAATCACGTGCAAGTAAAAACAAATCACTTGCACAATTTTTCAACTCATGTGAGTAAAGGGTGGCGCTCCCCCCCCCCCCCGCTCCTCGGTCCGCCACTTTGGGCCTTAGTAGAAACGGATAAAGATGGCTATTCTGAAACGGTTAGTTTGGATCTATTCCTCTGCTTCTGTTAGCTATCTCTGATGGTTCATAACTCGGTCAAGAAAGGATTAGGTTTTTTGTTTACAATGGTTCAAACAGAATTTTTTTGAACTGGGTGACAAGTGCTAATCAAAAGAAAATGTACTTTGATGATACTTCAATCGGAAATGATACCCTCGTATAGAAAAATCACTGTCTGAACTGACTTCTTGTTTGCTTACCCAGACGTCAAGAGACTTCTAACCTTTACGTCATCAAATTTCAAAGGGAAAGTTGGATGATTTTGGTCAAGTATGTAGCAAACTTGACTCTTGTAGTGTTTACTTTTTAGTTTTTATTGAATCTAAACGCAAACGGTGCTTCCTTAGGGGGTTTTTATTTGCTGTTCAGATTGATGATGTAAGGAGCTTTAAAGTTTGTGTTCGGTCAGATTTTCCTTTTGCGTTAAGAAAACATTGTTGAGGGGCTAGAATCGTTAGAACTTTTTATGCATTGAATATTTTTTCTTCTACTATGATGCTCAAAAGTGCTTTCATGAGCGCCAAAAATTTACAAGCGATTAATTCTTTGAGGGTTCTTTGGCCGCTTTTTCTATAAAATAGTCTATCTAAGGAGCGGGCAAAAAAATTGGAAACCTTCTTCAATGGATTTCTTTTCAAACACATTTTAGGTACTAGAAGAAGAGGAGCAGTTAAGGAACGTTAGCAAACATTATCTAGATGATATTGTAACCGTAGCTACTACCATAGCCACGCCAGTAGAGATGGTAACTAAGAAGTGGTGTACGGTGAAGTAACGTTGTTGTGTGGCATTGCATGATTGTTGTGATCTGTCCTGGTCGAGGACTATCCGGAAATCAGCTGAAAGAAGATTCTTTATATTTTAGCCTCACTTGGATGCTCCACAAAGTATACACTGGCCGCTGCCATCCGGTAGTCTGTATGCACATTTTAAGAAAGCAGCTGTGGCTTCAGATCACGGTCTGTGCTCCGAAATTGGGCGGTAAGTTCGAATCGTAGTCTACTAAGAAGAAGGGGGGGGGGGGCGGGAGAGGAAGAGAAAGCTGTGTATTTTGTAGTTAGGCAAACCCTATCTTGTCTTGTAAAGAGTAGTTTCTTTTACACAATCTATTTCATTTCTGTTGAATACGAAGTCCAAAAGAGAGAAAAACTGACGTATGATTTCCGTTTCTTTTTCTCCATTATTCTTAATCTTGGCAAAATTGACCTCAAGGGGACGATAGAAGGAGGAATAGTATGCTCCATGTCAAAATTCTAAGGAAAGAACTGCCTCAACTTGACTCTTTTTCTCAAATAGTTCAATTTTTCAAACTTGGATAACAAGGCAAATTTTGTTTTTAGGGACGTCTTGATCGATGGCGGAAATGCTGTCGATTCAATGATTGCCACTCTTCTTTGTATTGGAGTTGTGAATCCACAATCCAGTGGTATTGGTGGAGGATTCCTTATGACTTTGTATAATGCGTAAGTCACTTCTTGCACAATAATTTTTGCCAATTATTAATAGATCACTTCAGATCTACCGGACGCTGTCAGACCATAAATGCTCGCGAAACTGCACCGTTATCTGCTACTCAAGATATGTTCGTGAACGACACGACACAGGCAGTTTACGGTATACTTGAAACATTGGTGATTACGGTATGGTACAGTACTCCTCACTGTTCTAGGCTACCGCGCAATTGCAACACCTTCTGAATTGCATGGATTTTGGACAGTATTCAAGAGATTTGGATCTCAAAAGGTATGGGCACCGTGAATATTTTTTTCTCCTAAAAATTTTTGCGAGGAGAAATGAGAGCAGTTTTGTTGTAGGCTCACTTTTAGGTTAAATGGTCTCGGCTGTTTGAACCCTCCATCAAATTGGCCATGCAAGGATTCCCTGTTTCGAGTAACTTGGCTATGCAGCTTAGAGATAAAGAGAGTCTTGTACAAGCTGAACCAACTATGAAGTACTTAATCTTGCTTTATTTCCCTGTAAAGCGCCTAAGCCAATTTTTTCCAGAGAAATTTTCGTCGACAGAGCAACGGGACGAGTATATGAAGAAGGTGACATTATGAGAAGAGAGCGATTAGGATTCACTCTGCAGCTCATCGCTAATGCCACTGATCCTGTAGAGTTGTTCTATAAAGGTGGAATGGCGCAAACAATTGCCGGAGAGATCACTGAGAATGGTAAGCCTTCATTTTTACTGTAGACTGAGTGAGTTACGTGTCCTCACATTGCTACAAAGTTAAAAGAAAACAGAATTCAATAAAGGTATTTGAATCTTACCTAACGGATTTTTTCTGAAAGAACACTAAACTGGCAATACCAAAATCTTTGCAAAATCGGTATAGGAAGGGTTTCCAAAAATCAAATTGTCTCACGCAGTAAGCTTTGGTGTTTATCCATACCTTACTAGTGACCCTTCTCTGAAATTAAGCAACTCGGCTGTTAGACTACATCCAGTTCAACTGAAAAATGAAGACTCTCTATAGCAAATTACATTGTTTTGTTTTGTAAAAGCTTTGGCAAGCTGAATCAACTTAAATTGTCATTATGTGGTTTAACACAGCCGTGTACCACCACCGTTACTCTAGTTCAAAAATGGGATCATGATATCAAATGTGAGCATGATATCAGCTCAACTCAGACAAATGACCGGAACTTCCGCAGAGCGCTTGCGGAAGTTCCGAAGAATGCCAACCTCAACAGCAAAAGGGAACACCGAAGCGAGATTGAACCTCACTCTATTGCCTGTGAGACCCACCTACTATCCTCTACGCTACGGCTGACATGTTCGATAATGCACTCTAGTTGTTGGCGAGGCAACATCACGAGACACTACACATTCAAAGCCCTGCGGAAGTTCTGGCAGGCCAAAGTGCTGCGGAACCTCCAGCATTTTTCGGAATTTCCGCAGGATTTTGAAGAAGGTTCTGCGGAAGTTCCGGTTTTCAACCAGTTTGGCATAAAAATCCCGCGGAAGTTCCGATTTTCAACGTTTTCATTTTGCAATAGTAGACAAAATCCTGCGGAACTTCTGCAAATTTGGCTTATCCTGCGGAAGTTCCGGTGATTTGTCTGAGAATGCACTTATTGCTTGCTCTAGTGGTCTCATATAAATGTAGAATCTTTTCATTAATTACTCTTCTAATCATAGTTTTTGGTGACCCTCTTCTATTACCACAAAAGTACCCTTACGAAATCTTTTGCTAGGTTCACGATGCATCGCTTCTTTTAGGTGGAATCATTACCCAAAAAGATCTGGCTAGTTATGAGACATTTATCGATGACATACCCTTAATTGCTACCGGACTACCTGGTGATCTGGAAATGTGTGGACCACCACCACCATCATCCTTCGTCATCACCCAGAACATCATCGCTGTGATGGCAGGTGAGGTTGCTAAAGAAATCTGTAACAAGCTCGAAAGACCGTGAATTTCCTTGTAGAATTCTACCGAGATGGGAAAGTGAACCTAAACGACCCTATGGTCTACCATCGCCTAATTGAAGCGGAAAAGTTTGCTTATGCACAGCGCACAAAACTCGGGGATGTCAGATTTGTAGAAAGCGCAAAGGCTCTGGTGGCTAATATGAGCACACCGTAAGTTTATTATGTGACACTTGGCACAACTCCAAAGATTTTTATAGGAAATACACAAAATGGATCGCATCAATGATCAAAGACACGGCTCAACCGAAGGAGTACTATCTAGGAGATGACACTACGCAGGTACATTTGACTCTTAGTAACCTGATTCAGTAGACTACCATAGTTACAATACTAACCCTAACCAACAACTAATAACATTTAGCCTGCACTTGAACTAGAAGAGGTGGGTTTTGCACGAACTACTCATCGTGTCGTTTGCACATAATATGTGTTCACACAGAAAGCACAGCAGACACCTGACGTACTATAAATGCTAGCATTAGAAGATGATTAAGACGATATAACTTACAAAATTTCCCTCTGATTTTGAAGTTTCAGAATTTATTGCCAGCCGGCTATCGAGAATTTGAGTCAGAATTATGTTGTATGTCATTCCGATCCAGTTAGCGCACCAAATATTTTAAAATTCCAATTTTCTTCATATGTTACAAACTGGCTCAACTCAAGAGAGAAATCTTTGCTTCCTAGACAATGTTGCCATATAGGGCATGTACAGGAAAATGAAACGGAGACATTTTTTTCGCTTCGTTTCCCTTTTCAAAAGTTGCAGAAAATACGATTGGATCTTTTATAATTCTGATTATGATTTGACGACCTGGTCTTCCTGAAGAAAGACCACAAAAGAAATCCCTATGATCGATATAGTTTACTGTATATGTATAGCAAACAGGAGTAAAAGTAAATCAAAACGTTCTAATTTTTTGGAGCCATTTTTCGCAATTTTTGGTGCAAGACTTGTGGACCAAGTTATACTTCGATTGCTTTTGAGATATTTCAAAAGTAGGATTATAAATCACGCTCTATATCACTCATACTTCTCACACAACTCGCTTCCACTGCCATCGCTATGTCTCAATTCTGCACAAGTTTCTGTGCCAAAAAACAGAAAATCATGTATTCTTTTCGTTTTGAGTGTTCCTTGTTCTTTCGTGACGTATATTATCACTGCACAGCATAGAAGCAGATAGAGAATGACAAAAGTGTCTGTCCTCGGTCTGTCTGCTTCCGCTCCCGACGAACTAACCCGGTTTGTTTAGGTTCCCGACCACGGAACATCACATGTCACGGTGATTGATCATGACGGGAACGCCGTTTCGTGTACGTCGACGATAAATCAGATGTGAGTACAATGATCGGTTCTCTTTCTGTACAGTCGAATGCATCTCGTAGCTAATGTCTGCAATCGCACAAAGGTCATCAGTTTTTGCATGCGTGCAGTATGCTCCAAAAAAGTATCAAAGCGCTTGGCAGACAGGTTGGGAGAAATGAAAAAGAACAAACATTTCATATTCACTGAAGAAAAAAGCATGCCATGAAAGTTTTAGCAGAGATGTGTGATGTGCGTGATGTGCAATTGCACACTGTGCACCAGATTGTTAAACTATACATAGCTAGCCGTTACTGTCCTCTCCATTCAATAGCTTCACTCATTGATGTAGACATCCTTGAGAAAGGCGGTGGGCATGTTCATGCATAGGCTCAATACAAGAAATCGGTATCTGAGGCAAATAAGTGAAAATAATAATGGTTGAATCAACTATTATTTTTGTGTTTTGTTGCGAAAATCAACAAATATTTCGGCGAAATAGATCACGAGATTCTTTATACTTGTGCTGACTATTTATTCGCTGTTCTAAGGGGACATAATCAGGGGTGATCTAAACTGGTAGCATCAAATTCGAGTCAAACCGGCTAAAATTTTTTGGCAGAAAGTTACGAGGGATCTTAAACTGTGATGCTAGCTCCATCCACTTTTGAGGACTACATGTGAAGACTCATGTATATCTTTATGTAAGGTTTTTTAAGAGGCGGTTTAAATCAACTGGAAGAGAGAACCTTCGAAGCGATGTCTAACATTTGAAAAGCTGTCTGAAACCTGATTATATAAGAATCAGCTAGTGTTCCTAAGTGACACTAAAGTACAACTGTTATTCATGGCCAAGAAGCTCAGTTCTGAACTCTTGCCCAATACCATACCCTGCGAAGTGAGGACGGTATTGGGCGAGATTGTAGTCGAACTCCTTGGTCACGATTGAGTCTACTTCCTCTCGTGAAATAGCTTATCCCAATGATTTTTACCAAAGTCCAGGTAGTATTATCTTCTTGCACAGTTGACGTCAGTATGTTCCATGTCAGCTATTGTGGAATTTTTAGTTGAAGTCGTCTGTCGGAGTATTGACCTTTATGTCAAGGTTCTCTCATAAGAAGCTGAAAAAGTGATCATAAAGCAGGTCTGAACCTGCTGGGTTTCGTTTCCCTCTCACATTTCGAGGTTTTATTCTCTACAACAAAATCGCTAATCTCAATTATGGCACTAAAAAGGTCTAAAAAGGAATAAGCTAGTTTGCAATTGTGAATATTTCTTAAAATATGATGGTGGCGAAGTCTAGGAATGACTAGAAAGTAGATAAGCCGTTGATATATTATATTTATGTACGTAATATTTAGCTTCGGCTCCATGCGTGCTTCACAAACGCTGGGCATCATTTGGAACGATGAGATGGACGACTTCTCCACTCCTGGCGCCGCTAACGCCTTCGGATTCGCTCCCTCACCGTCGAACTTCATCGCACCCGGCAAGCGACCGATGAGCAGCATGACCCCGATGATCGTCTACAACAAAAATGAAAACAATGTTCGTGAACCTTCCTTCCTATGAATGTGGAAGCAGGTTTTAGTGTGATTATGCGCATTGTTCTATTGTTCAGGTCGTCATGGTGGCTGGTGCATCTGGTGGTTCTTACATCATCTCTGCTACTGCACAAACTGTAATTCGCACAATGCTGTTCAATCAGACTGTAAAGGTAAGCAAACGAGTGTATGTAGTAAAAGACGAAACATGCAAGGGGATCTGAAAATCACATTATTTGCTCCATCAGTGGCTACACTAATGTTTTAAGCTAGTGAATAAGCAGCGCAGTTTTTTGATAAGTCTATGATGCATAGGTTAGTCGTCATTTCAATCAGCAATCTTATTGACAAAGTATCTTCTCCTTGCTTATAAGAATTGTGAGCTATCGTTCTATCTCCATCTTTATTCATTATCAATCCAATCCTCAGTAATCAATCAAACTTGAAAAAAAATTGATGATTTCCTTTGAGATTTTCGGTAGTACAGGATCTATGTGCGTGGTCTTTGTTCCAAAAGTTTTTGAAAGACGGAATGAACTCAGCTTTTGGTGGTTGATCGTTTCACTTTCGATCTGTTTACTTACCAGCGAATGGCGAAGAAAAGATAGCAACTAATCTGCATCAAACTTCAGCTTACAAATCGGCAGCAAAACTATTAGATCGTCCCGAAAGTTCTTGCGCACGATTTTCAAAAATTCAGAACTCTGATTTTTCCAACCGATTTGACTGCTTTTATTTTCTTATAAAAGAAGTGTTCAAAATTTGAATTTTCTGTGTAGGGTCATAAAAAATCGGAAACTTGCAACAGAAATCGGAGCAATCAGTATTATAGGTTCTTTCACCAGCTCTTCCTAACGATGCAAAGTTTGCGCTGATTGAGCGTTTCAATCAAAATTATAATTTTCGAGCAAGCAATACAAAAGGGGCGAATTCGATCTATTTTTCAGGTATTTTTCAGGAAAATCGTAAGTTTTCATAGAGACGCTCAATCGGCAACTTTGCAAGGCTAGAAAGAGCTGGTGAAAGAACCTATAATACCGATTGCTCCGATTTTTGTTGCAAGTTTCCGATTTTTTAAGACCCTACACAGAAAATTCAAATTTTGACCACTTCTTGTATAAGAAAATAAAAGCAGTCAAATCGGTTGGAAAAATCAGAAGTTCTGAATTTTTGAAAATCGTGCGCAAGAACTTTCGGGACGACCTAATATTTAACTCATTTAATCCCGAAAGCACTGCTTCTGGGATGTATAGGGATGCAAATATATAACGTAATAATGCAGATATGTAAGTGCGAAGAATTTTCGTCAACATTACCATTGTTCAAAAATTACTTGGAAGATTCCATCTCTACTTATTCCTCAGTAAAAAAGAGAAATTAGAGATCTATCTATCCCTAACTCCTACTTCTATTGCTAATTTTATTTGAAGAGCAAAGAAACTTCATTTTTGCAGGGAAAAATACTTTGTTTTCGGTTGCTTATCATTTCCTCAAATTGCATAGAAAAGAAACTTCGAAACAAACTATTTCTTTAGGAGGCTGTTGATGCACCACGAATGCACAATCAGTACCTTCCCCACGTGACTCAGTATGAAGAGCCAGTACCACCGGTAAGCTAAGTCTGAAATTTATCATTTTTGCTAAGGAATGCAGAAACAAGAAATTATTTATCCGATTATATTGTTTCCAAAAAAAGCTGTCAATAAAATTTTGAGAAAGAAGATCTTGAGGATTACCAGCATTCAAGAAACAAATCGTTCTTGATATGAAATAACTTTTGTTTTAGCTGTAATCTGAGAGAAAAACACCCTCATTGTCAGATTTTTTCCTGTGTTTGAAATTGAAAATGACCGAATATTTTTAATTGCTAGTCAAAATCGTAATTTATGAAGATCTTGAGAGAATAGCAGATTTAAGAGTAGCATGAAAATCATTTGCAATCTTCAGGAGATCATCGCTGTACTGGCCGATCAGTACAAACAGAATTTCACAATGGTCGACAAGCAAAAATCTGTGGTACAAGCATTGGAAGTTCATCAAGATGGTAAGTGTACTGATTATTTCACCTCAAAGTTTTTTACTCCAAAATTCTTTCCTTATAGGGTACATCCACGGCAACAGCGATTTCCGACGGCAAACTGCAACCTACCCAGCCGGTTACTAACTCCTCTGGAAGATTCGCTTCTGACATCCTCCTTAACGAAACTCTAGTCCAAGTCTTCGGATCAAGCGTTAGCTACCGTATCTCAGAATGGCGACGGATCGTCGCTGCGATTCTCGTTCTCCTACTTGCATTCCTCACAAGCAGTATTGACATGGCCTCGCACAGCTACCCTCGCTAGATTGTTTTTCATCCAAAGATTCTGACAAGTTTCAAGCGTAGATATGACTGATACTCGGGTTTATATTTGTACATATATCGATATCGATTGATCTTATGCACTTGACACTTACCAAACGACAACTTTAATCTTTCGTGTTCACTCGTCGTTGACAAATCCCATGTCAAATCATCGTGATAATAGCATTCTTGACATAAATAAATGTTACAACATCCCAGTTGTTTTTTTTTCATCTGACAAGAGAATAGTGCAAAAACTGCAGTTCTTGTAGTTCTTGCGTTGCGACAGGTGGAGTGGAGCAATTTCTCTGCTCCTCTTCACCTTTAAGCCGGCATCTTGACTCCATCACCTGAGGTTGAGACTAGTGTTAAGGCATAACGGCAGAATAAAGGAATGATAAATGATGCACGTTTTGTTTGGGACCCACCTGTTGCTTCTTCTCAGACCTGACTGCGCTTTTACAGCGTTTGCTGAGAAAAGCGCAAGCTTGATACTTCTTGTCTCACTCAAAGTGGTTTAGTTCTATTAGCGAAATAAATCTAAAAATTCAGAAGATGTCTGATTCTTTGAACAAGCAACATTGTTCAGTGAATATACAGGGTCCAAAAAATGCCCCAAAAAAATGTGTCCACTGTTTGATTGTTAATAACTCTCTAGCAATGAAGGCTTTCGAGAAGCTTTATGTACCGTTTTGTGAAGATGGCTTTAGCTTAAATTTGCAGTATAGAGCAATTTACCAATCGCTCTTCATTACTGTAAAATTACGGTAGAAACTTCAAGTATATGATGTCATCGTGAAAAAAAAAACTGCCGTTTCAAAAATTTAGAAAAAATGTGAGAACTTGTGCAATAAAATTTTCGTAGACGCTGAGTTCAATGCTCAACTGTGTACAAGACTGCGAAGCTTTTCAAATGGTGTAATCACAGTTCAGTAAAATCAAAAACAGAAACAGAAACATTAAAAAAAGGCCGCTGCTGCTTACCTCGCACAACTTTTTACTGAAGCATCATGATAAGTTGCGAACTTCACATTCAGAATCACCAGCTCTAATTAGCCCAGTGTGAGAGTTTTAGGTTATTTTGTTTCCTTTTTGAGGCAAAATATGGCCTAAACTATGACATTATGGCTTAAAACCTTCTTCAAAGTTTCTACCGTAATCCTACAGTAACAAAGATCAGCCGGTAATCCGCTCCATACCGCATGTCTAAGTTGAAGCCAGCTCTACAAAATGATACCTAAACTCTTTTGAAAGGCTCCATTATAAAAGAGTTATTGTCAATCAAACAATAGGCCCATTTTTTGGGACACCCTGTATGTTATCGAAGAGAAGAATTAGGCAAGAGTAGGAAGTCTGCTCTGCCCAATGATGGGTGCATTTTCACTGAAAAGGATTATTATATCTTCTTTTATCAAAAGACGTCATAGAAAATAGAGCAGTTATTATAGTGTTCAATTCTAGCTTTCCATTCACATGCGAAGCCTCGAGAAATATCTTTTATTTCAAGAAGAAAGCATTAAATAATTAATGAAAATTAGCTGATACTGCAACTAGATAAAATGTCTCATATATATCTCTCTTCGCAGGACACCTAGAAAAAAAGAGGCAATCTATGTGAATTCTTCGTGCTCTTAGCTATTGGGTGGTACATAGACTGTTTTGGTGTATAAAGCTTTCCAACTCCAAAAATCTTGCTCCGGCGACCCATGAAAACCAAGCCCCTTAGTTGACAGGGTGGAGCAGGCTAATAATAAATGTCTTTACCCCATTCTGAAGAGTTACAAATCGTCGTATGCCTATCGTAGCTCCTCTCTACTAGGAGATACATGGCATTTAAGCTGAAAACATGCGTGTTTTTGTGAGAAAATTTCTACGTAAAAATAAATGAAGATGTCTAATTGTCTAAAGTTGTTACAGAGCAGAGCAAGACTTTGCCAGTAATGTAGACCGTCTTTTTTTTAGCTTTCTCTTCCTTTCAGAAATGGAGCGCAAAGTGATCGCATAAAGTCAGCTGATGCCGCAGCTAGATATGATTTTTTATACCTGAATTGAGAGGAGAGCTGAAGAAAAGAGACGGTCTACGACGATTCTGTATGTTCCATGCTTTCGAATGGTATGTCGACTGATGAAACATAAAGCTTTTATGAGTCAAAAAAGTTTTGTTGGATAAGCCTAAGCATTGGGAAAATCTTCATATTACACCTCCGTATCACTAATTTTTTCCTCTTTACACAACTCAGTCCCACTCGGCATGTATGCTTACGTCAGCATTCACCTCAAGGCTCAGCTACCCCCTTTAATTATCTAGGTCGGAAATAGCCGAAACCCCCTTCACTTGGAGAGGACCCTGCTCCTCTTATCGCGTCTATGGTTCTTACTTTCCTTGGGGCATTAATTTTTTTTATGGAGAGCGGTAAAAACATCTTGGTTTCAACTCAGTAGCAGATTGGATTTTTCAAAATGTTCTCCCAGTGATCTGTATACATAGCATGTGCATCCTATGTGATGCGGTACATAAAATATATTCTTATAAATTTTACCATCCTATTCATATGAGATGGTCAAATTTTTCAATTTCGTCAAATTTGCAAAAAATCCTGCTCCAAAAAAAGAAACTGAATCTGGATATAGAGTAAACGGCTGATACGCATGTTTCGACATTTCCAACCATTCGCATGGTCATAGATGATCAAATCCAAGCGATTCTGGACTATCCAAAAATTGACGCGCAAATGCCATGAAATTTTCACACTTTTGGATGTGGAAATCCCAAACGGCAGGTCACAGTTTTGATTGTAGTTCGCCATATATCCAAAGGTTATGTGTGTGCAACAAACAAATCACACTGTGCAACTACTACAGCTTTTAGTAGTTGGACTAAAGGCAAAATAGTGATTTGTTAGGTTTAGCTATATAAGACCATAACTGTCTTTTATGATAGAAAACTCTATTAGGTTGGAAACTAAGTTTTGCAGCTGGTCTCATAACTTCCCTCTCACTCAACATGGCGCACTCAAATTTTGCCACTGAGTTGGTTATTACGTAAGCTACAAGCGCAGCTGCTGTGCTACCCAATTCCGACGTCGCAGTGAGGGTTACGGTAGGTGCATGGTATGAAGGGGAAAAGTTCAAAGTTTGACGGATTTGGCTGAAACTTGGCATAGGGGTGTTATCCGACATGCTGATCACGAAAACGATAGTGAAATTGCGTGATAAGGGCTTTTTGTAGGATTACAGTAGGTGTACGATTTGGGGTCTCACCCTAAACAAGGAAAAAGGCGTTGATTCAACAAATGAATGTGATATTCGCGTTCGGCAGGTCAAATAACATTACTATGTAAAGTCTCGGCGGAATTTGAGCTTCGGACTCTCTAGTCATTGACGGTCGTCCTCAACAGCTCTTGCGTACATCGACTCGTTCGACTTTATGAGGACGCCAAATCTCGGCATGCCCCTAATTTTGTATCTTTCTTACTAGGCCGAAGGAGTCAACCTCCAGCAATACTTTGTAGATGAATCCGGATTACTGCGCATGGTCTAAGCTGCCAAAGGCTTCATTTTAGCTTGAAACCCCAAAAATTCACAAATTTCACTAGTTTTCCAAAAAAGCCTGAGACTTTTCTATTTCGCGTTCAAAATTTAGCAGTTTGTGCTCACTTGTAGCTCACATTGCTTTCTACATAATGCCAAAGTTTGAGTGCGCCATATCCAAAGAGAGCGGAGTTATGAAACCAGTTGCAAAACTTAGTTTCCAGCCTAATATATTGGAATTCCAGTGGAGAGGTTTGAAGCTACCCACTTACAATCATAGCTTAATAACAATTACTGAATTGTCATAGAGTTTCGAAATTGCGTTTCAAAATAAAATTATTAAAATAATCAAGTTCGGCGCTTTTGCAGCTTCTACAGATGCTGCAGACAAATTTTTGTCCAATGTTTGGTATCTCTGGAAAGAACACTTGTATTGAAGCATCTATTCTGTTTGAGTAAAACTCATCTTCCAAGGAAAAGAATCCGCAAAGAATTGAAAAAGCGCAATTTGCTCATAATGTGCAAATATGTGGAAATTTGGTTTTCTTGGTGAAACATTTTTCGAAGTGGCTGGTTACAAATTTTTTTTGTTATTCAGTATATAGGGAAAACTTCTCTGCTTCCAACTGCTACATTGCTATTCTCTACATCCATTACAGCATGAAAACGAAGCCTTAGGCCCCGGGCAGACTTTACGCGATTTAATCGTCGCGACTGAGTCGCGAGGAGACAACTGTTACAACATCATTCCATGCCGATCAACTTGCATTCGGTTGTGATACTTTTCCAGCCCGAAATTTTTGAATGTGAAATGAAAATGAATGGAAATCTTGGCGATTATATCGACGATTAAGTCGCGTGAAGTCTGACCGGGGCCTTAAGAAGTTAAAAAATTGAGCTTTTGGAAAATTCGCCATATTTGAAGTATGACTCTCTTTAATGATGATAGAAAATCTGAATATTTGGTATGTGGTAGAGGAAGCTTTGCTCTACTTTCCCACAAAGAATCATCGGTAGAAAACAACAAGAATTTTTTTAATGATGATTTGTATGCCAAAACGAACTTATTTTTTAGCGCCAACCAAGCCGACCCAGTGTACTCATGGTAAGAATATTAGTATCACTATAATTCTAAAATTTCGAAAGGCAGTTATGGAAGAGAGAATTGTTTTGTATCTTGTAAGGTTTGCTCTACCATATGACACTTGTAGCCTTCGAATAATTAGCAAAAAAACTTAGAAAAATAGTGAGACTTGACCATGTATAAGTACTAGTTTTGGCTTCCTGGGATCTGAATGCAGTAAAGGCATTGCTCACTTCTATCTTCAACCTTCTCACGGGTCGGTAAGTACCGGCTCTGACTATCCAACGACCAAGGATAGAAGAAAGGAAGAACGCGGTGGAAGAAAGTGGCTTCCGCCGGGTAAGATAATCCTTACGCGGAAGTCAAAGCAACGAAGCCAGCCAAACCCGCAATCGCTTAACCACTTGCTGGCAGGAAGATCTTACAGACTCTATCGTTGACGATTCCGAGATGCGCTTTCAGCCCCACTTTCATAAATGCCATATTGTAACCGGGGGTGTCTAGTGATATAACGGTTTCGACGGGATCGATAGACTACACGGATCGAACGACTAATAATTTATCTCAGATAAAGGCAACGATAACAAGAAAACAAGAACGCGTAACTTGAACAAGGCTTACAACGAAACAGCGGGCTTTACCCTCTTTGACCACTTCGGCAGGTTTACTGGATACTCTCTATCTAAGGGGGAGATCCGCCTCTCTTCGACGGAGTTAGCTCCCGCTAGCGCTTCCTCACCGCGGACTCTGAGACTCCCCCTGACTCCCGGTATTTATACCCTGCCGAAGGGGTCAGCGCGGGCTTTTCTTCCCGCCACTGAAGATCGGTGGGTCGGTGATCCGCGCCCTCTGACAATATGAGGATCATCACGGCTTGATTAATAAATCACCGAGAGTGAACGGAAATAGGACAGAAATGAGACAGAGGAAAGGTTTTGTAACCCTGAATATACCGTACAATTAGTGCGACAATGGAAATCTGTATAGATCTTAAGATTCAGGATACAAAATTTTTGATTTGCTTAGAACTCTAGGAAACATAAGATTTAGCAGATGATAGCAGCAGAGGCTGACTAATTTACCCTATTTCTGACAAATTTTGAAGTCGCCTTTTCAATTAAGTCTTTCTATACCTCTCTTACAAGGGAAAGAAGGTTGGTCGAAGTGGCCTTTTGAAATGAGGTGTAAACCACCTTGTAGAGCTTGGAACGCTGATTCCAAATCTACCTTTGCTATCTGCTGCGGGCTTCTAAGTGAGGAGTTATGAAGGTTTTTGTGAGTAAAAATCTGAATGCAAATATAGGGTAAAATCAGTCGTTACCTTTCCCCAATGTTCAAATGAGGCAGCGGCGAATTGGTGTATTTGAATCAAGAATATGTGTTGCACCGAGTGACCCGACTACCAATTCCCTTCAAAAAATTTTACGACTGATTTTAGCCTACTCTTGCATTCAGACTTTTACTCACAAAAACCTTCATAACTCCTCGCCCAGAAGCCCGCAGCAGATAGCAAAGGCAGATTTGAAATCGGCGTTCCAAGCTCTACAAGGCAGTATACATCTCATTTCAAAAGGCCACTTTGACCAACCTTCCTTTCCTTGTTAGTAATTTCCGGAGGATTGGTCTGCACCTACCGACTGTCTTCTTTCTTTACACAGCAACAATTCCAGAGTGCTTCAGCTTTCTGATAATTGTTTCTGATGACATAAACCTGGTGAAAACGTGACATTTTGACAATCGCGAGAGCTCTCGAATCTTTATTACATCGAGCGTTTAGCAGCTAAGATTTTGTATCAAGAATCGTAATTCTGAAATAGCGCACTTAATAGTGGGAAACGTTGGCATTGAAAAAATAATAATAATTTGGCTTTCAATCCGCATGAAGAAAGCCATAAAAATCTGTTATGCCAGCGATTTTCTTCTTTTATGACTGCTGTAAAACAAGAATAAACTTCAGTTTCATTCCAGAGTAAAATATTTGACGATTTTTACAGAATCATGGAATCTTATCGATTTTTCTCCACAACCATGAAATCGGTTCTTATGACCTATGTGTCAACGGTTTCCGCAAATGGTATAAATCAAGAAAAGACATGGTCCTTCAATTTCAGAAAAGCAACTTTTTTGTTTTTGAAATATGCCAAGCAGTCAAATTTTTGAGTACGGTTTGAGCACGATGTCGAAGGACATCTTGCAAGCGAAAGTGCTGATCAATACGAGAATATTTTTCTATAAAATGTGATTTTTATGAGCCTACTTTCCCACGATGGTAAGATGTGTTTACAGCATGGCTTCTTACAATTGCTCGTTTAGCTGTGTTTCTGGCAGTAAAACGTTTTCACACACATGATCGGAACAACGAAATTATGCAAATTAATCTGACGACGCTGATTTGCGTTGATAGATACCACGACAAGCTCCCGATATAAGCAAGGCTCATTTCTGCAGCAGCAGGTCGCTTTACTGCAACAAACATTTCGAGTCTGCTTTCTTGTACAGCTTGTGTCTAAATATTTGCAGACTTTTCAATATTTTTAGGATTTTCGTGCATTCAGATATGTGGTTTGAAGTCTTAGCAGCTGCTGCTTTGATTTTTTCCACCTTCGGACATGGTGAGTTGTTGTTTGCAACGAATTATGTTGAGACCATCCAAAGATCCAGTTCAATTTTCAAGGTGGCCCAAACATGTTTAGTAAAGCATATCCTGATAATCAAAAAAGGGAATTTCAGGACCTGGCATGGGGATGTCTGTGAGACCAGGAGCTATGGGAGCGCTTGGTGGGCCAAGAATGGGACCAGGAGGAATGCAACCGGGAATGGGAGGCCGTAGACCTGGATTCGGAGGAGAGGGCCCTTTCAATGGCAGACGTGACTTTGGAGGACGGGATCGTTTCGACGGCAGACGTGACTTTGGAGGACGGGATCGTTTCGACGGCAGACGTGACTTTGGAGGACGGGATCGTTTCGACGGCAGACGTGACTTTGGAGGACGGGATCGTTTCAACGGCAAAAATGGATTTGGTGGAGGAGATCGTTTTAATGGCAGAAACGGACTTAGAGGAGAAAACCGTTTCAATAAAAGAAGACGCTAAAGGATGGAAAGTCCAAAGCGAGGTCAAGTTGAAAACATTGATTTATTAGCAAATGTTTTCAGTAACATGCAACATTATAGGATACTGGTAACCTCGTGATTCCACCAGTTTGCATCAAATAAAGTTGAAACTCTCAATTTTTCCAACCTCAAGAATATCTTGCAGAAAGTCCTGTAACCCAAAATATTGGGTTTGCCTATTTTAGTGACCACAAGGGTAAGCTGAGAAAATGCTCAGAAAGCTCAGAAAAGCTTATTCAGATAATATTAGCTCAGAAAAATGACTACCCAAAGAAAGAAAGGCTACGTCGAAGAGTTCAAGAAGTTTAGCTATTATCTTCATTCCACGTACTTTCAAGCTGACTAAAAAACTTTCGGAACGACCCAATTAGCACGTATAGACAGTAGCAGATTTTCGGAACGGTGCAACCGACTTCAAGGGGGTGGGGATATGTAGACTTGTGCTTAGAAGAACGTGTTTTGGTGCCTTGAAAACAAAATCTGCTCTCCTTTGTGAGATATCGTTGTTGTTGCAGAAGTGGGACACGTTTCTAACAAGGGAAGAATATTCGGTCAAAGTGATGCTTCCATATGGAATGTATAGGTTAAAGTGGTGGTTTTATATGAAACTAGCTGGCTTACCCGGCCCGTATGTTTCGAATAGAAAATTCCATTTCTTAACCGATCCGGACCAAACTTGGCACACATACATTTCTGGCCCCGGCGGGTGTCACAGTCCACTTTTTGTTATCGATCGATGTCGATGTTATCGATTTTTTGCAAAATTTGAGCTAGGGGGCTGGAATTTGGCAGAGGGGTGTAATCGAGCATGCTGATCACCCCCACGTAGGTGATCAGCATGCTCGATTACCCTCCTGTGCCAACTCCCAGCCCCGTAGCTCAAATTTTGCAAAAAATCGATAAAATCAATATCGATCGATGACGAAAAGTAGCCTATGACACCCGCCGGGGCCCGAAGTGTATGTGTGCCAAGTTTGGTCCCGATCGGTTCAGAAATGGAATTTTCTATTCGGAACATACGTACACACATACAGACATACAGACATACAGACATACATACAGACAGACAGACAAACAGACATTCAGCTTTATATATAAGATGTACACTGCCTCATAGAGCATGAAACGCTGATTCCAACGCTGCTTCCATTATCTGCAAAGCCCTTCTGGGAGGGAGGTGTGGTAGCTTCCTGGAGCAAAAATTCAAGCTTTTGTCTAGGGTAGTAACAATTAAGCCCTTTTCGGCGTATGAAAGGAGCAATGATTAGCATAAGTCAATTAGAATGAAGGTGCAACAACTGCGGCGGCCTGGCAGTAGTCATGCCAATTTAAACTCAGAGGCTACAGCTCTGAATGATTGTAGCGTTTTTCGTTCAAAAGTTTGCTTCAGTAAATCCGAATTTTCCTTCTTAGAAGTTCTATGCAGATACCGAAAGCAGATTTGAAATCAGTGTTCCATGCAAAAAATCTGGAACCAAGTATTCGTTCCTTGCAAGAATTTTTCAACAAACTCTGTTCACGTAATTGGTTAGAAGTAACATTGCATGCTTCCACTCTGTAAGTGGAATGATGAGTAGGTGAGACAAAGCCTTAAAGGCAGTGTCCAAGCAGAATCTCGAATTCTATTTTTTGCATTATCCAGACCTTTTCATGGTGCTGCTTTCAAATATGACACTCAAAGTGTGAGTTCCTTTAAAAAACCCCATTTTCGAGACAATTTTGTAAGAACCATGGACGAGTGCTTCTAATGCTATCCTTGTCAAACAAGCATGAACAGGGTAGACCTATGTGTTCGATTGCGTATGCCACGTGAAACCTCGTTAAGGACTGAGGAGAGTTCGTTTCAAGAGGCGGGCAGTGCAAGGGAGTGGGCGTGGTCCTCGAGGCTCGGCCTTTTCTGCGCCTATTTTCTCCTTTTACAAGGGGTGTTTGGAAGTCGCATTTGCGCGATAGTTCTAGATCGAGGCCTTAGTACTCGGTTACGATACCCGAAAATGCCCAAATCTGCCCGGACGCTGCCTTCAATAAGGATTGAGTCAAGCCGCACCTTACGGTCATGCAGACTATATGCGACAGGAGTAGTTTTTAAATCGCGTCTAGCAGGCAAATCCCTTGTCGTTTCCGGAATTCAATTTTGGAGGTTTTTCAACCTATTCGAAAATATTTTGAAGTGAAAATTTCTGAAGGGAAACAAATAATCAATTTTTAGGATGAGTGGACATACCCCTCTGAGAGAGCATTAATCATATGAAATAGCGAGTAGATGACCTGCCATTGGTAAGATGGCATTCGCATTTGCTTAGTAATGTTGAAAGGGTTTATCTATTGATGCATACTCGGTTTTCATGCCTTTGATGATTTCTACAGGTAAAGTCTCTTCGTCTTTTTCCGTTTTTCGTCCTATCATTCAGTTGCAGGAGGTAACAGCAAGATTCTTTTGAGATGTTGGTGAAAATCCACATGAATCGGTGTGCTACATTCCCATGGAACACACAATAAGATATGTATGCCTTTTGTGGAAATTATCTGAGCAACTCGACTATTTTGCAGTGATTTTAGAAAAGGAGTAAAAATGAACACAGTTTCTGATGCGCCAGGTATCATTTTCTCCCGAGATTTTACAGCTTTCCGTAATTATTGTAACACAGGTCGTAAGCGCAGAGATCGATCCAAGTGTCTGAAGAAATATGTCATGAAAACTAGCTTTAGTGTTTGAAACAAAGCGACGATGCTTGTTGCGGTGGTGAACGGAATATTGTTAGCTCCATGGGTGTTTCACAGACGTTGTCATCACTTGGACCGACGAGATAGACGACTTTTAAGTTGCTCTTGACATCTCGAGCTTAACGGATTCGCCCTCACTGAAGAACTTGATCGCTCGCACCCGACAGGCTAGTGATGAGCAACTCAACCCACTGACTGTGTGCAGCGAAATCGAGAACAGTGTTGTGAACGCTTTTACTAATTCTGGTTCACCAACCATGACTATCAGTAAGCCATCCATGGCTATCTTGAGCCTTTACTAGCAGAACTAGTAAAAGTGCTCAAGATAATCGATGGCTTGCCTGAGATAGTCATGGTAGTGCATCCGATAGTTTTTACATCATCTCGGCTACCGCAAACATTAACACGTTTCGGACCGGTGCTGCACCTGGTGCAGCACGCTGCTTTGAAGGATCATTTTGACGTTCAAAGGAGGTTTTCTTTTAGTCCAAAGTTATCAGGTCAAAGATCTAAGCTCCTACTTTCCAAATAGCTCTGTAGAGCCGTACCGCCGATGTTTGTTCAGGAGATATAAAGAGAAATCGAACAACAGTTGCAACAAGGTGCGGCAACGCGAACGACGCGTGCGACGTCGCAACTTCTTTTTGCTTCAGTTTCGAGGAGGAACGCTAGTCTAGATTTTGATGTGTACCGTGTGCAACACAGATACTTTTGGATACTATTAGAAGCTGAGTTCTTGTCCCTGGTTTTCAGGAAAACACGAAGTTCTTTTCAAGCGACAAAATTCAAACACTTCGATTTCACTCAAAACTTTGAGTATGGGGCTTATCTGACATACTGATTACAGATGTAGCACACACTCCATAAAATAAGGTTCCTTTGTGGCTAACGGCTGAAAGTACACTCTTTTTCGCCGCGCGCGATTTCGCGGTCCGAAACGTGTCAATCAGTACAATGCTGTTCAAACTGTTAAGATAAGTACAAAAAAGTGTTGGGAACATGGAGGTCTTAATAACATTTCATTTTCAGCTTACTGCGGAAAGTTCAGTGTCAAAAGTTAGCAAATTAGCACCGCAATTTTGTAAGACAAACCTATACGTTGGCTACAAATGCTCATCTATATACTGTCATTAGTCACTGCTAAGTGTTTCTTCTAAAATCGCAGAGATTTGCTAGCCATTGTGTTCTTCATATTCATGATCAATTCTCAGCAAACAATTCTCTATGTGAAAAATAATCTCATGATTTTATTTGAGATTTGGTGGTACGGGACCTGAATGTGTGCATGGTTTTAGTCCAATATTTAACAAGACTAAAAAAACCGGTTTTGGTGTGATGATTCTACAATCGATTGATAAACACCTGGCCTGCATCAAACTTCAGCTTACAATTTGGCATTGAAAGTCATTTGATCCTTTTTCAAAAACAGTGACTCTACTTCTATACGGTTGCAGATGTCTATATATGTATATGTAAGAATGAGCTATATGTCAGAATGCACAAAAAACATTCACGAAATTCAAATCAAATTGTGGACAATTTCTGTGGATTTGTGTGTCAAAAATAACCAAAAAAGTTCCACTTCTTCCTCAATAGTTCTAATGGGCTCAGATTTCAACTCATGACTACGCCTGACAAAAGAACAGATATTCAAGTTGCTATATTTTTGAAAGCGAGTGAAATTTTGCATATCTTGAATCTGCACAACAAATGACAAGCACTAGAAACTGGACTGGACTGTAACCACCTGTTGTCTCATTCATCGCAAGTTGTGAGTGCCTTGCAAAAATGATTTTGAGACGGCTGAAAACTGATGAAGAGACTTGCGATGCGGACTTTGGTGACCTTCCGAGAGCTCATATGGTGAATTGTAACGGAAGCAAAGCTAGCTGAAAGAAGATGAAAAGCTGCATCCAAAGTTACCACTCTTTTTCTTGCATTCTTCACCGTTCAAGCAGTATTGACATGCTCTCGTACACTATCGTCGATTCGTTGGCCGTACGGACTGCTCAAACACTCGGACCACGCGCGGCGCGGTTAAAATGTTGCAAGAGCACGATTTTAACTATGGCGAGTTTGTATTGGAGCAAGCGTTTTACCTCGCGGCGCGTGCTCCGCGGTTATGTCCAGTCCGTATCAACGAATCGACGATACCTTCACTAGCGTTTCACTTTCCAAAGATTCTGACTTTGCTAACGTAGATTTGATTGATACTCGGGTTTTTATGTACATATATCGACATAGATCGAATGCAATTCACACTTACGCGCATGCCCGCAGAAGAAGACGCTAAATCCTTTATTTTTTATTTTATTGACCTAATTGCAAATTAACAATTACCACTTCTACACAGTAACAGCAGGGCGTTTTGAACTTTAAATATGTCGTGGTTCTACAGCAATTTTGATGGAGACCTGCATGGATACAGACAAGGAAAGGATGTTCAGTTGAAGTGGCATTTTGCGATTATTTGTATGCCATGTTGGAGGGCATGAAACGCTGATTCCAAATCTGTCTTCCTCATTTGCGCACGTTCCTTCACGAGAAATTATGCGCGTTTATCGGAGAAAAAATTGAAATGTGCAAATAATATAAAATTAGTACCCTAATTTCACGCGTACAAGGCGCGGGGTGGTCCTAGCTTTCATCGACCAGCCCGAACACGGCAAAGGACTTCGCAACCAAAGGAACCCCATACCGTGCTGCGTTTTGCCTGACGAATCGTGCGGCATAAGGATCGCTTCTTAAAACACGTTGGGGCGGCTGAGCAGCTCGATGAAAGCTAGGACCACCCCGCGCCTTGTACGCGTGAAATTAAGGTAGTAACATTGTTCCTAGCGTTTGATTGAACCAGTGATAATCCTTCCAAGCACTCTATAAAATAAATGTTAGGTGAGATATATCCACACTCCGGCTGTCTCATTCAAGCGATGGAGAAATTTTAGCAACTGTTTAAATCCCGGAAAACACTTATTTTTTGCTCCTTCAAACGCTCATAATTCCTCATCTAGAAAGGAAGACAGGTTTGAAATAACTTTCATACCCTCTACCATGGTACTATACAAATAATCTCAAAGGCCACTATGACCAACCATCCTTCCCTTGTGAGATTTATAAAAAGAAACAAAATTGATATTAACGACAAAAAAACGGATGCTAACATCAGGTGTTTAGTTACCCCTAATATCTACATTTTCGGAGGGGTGTCTATGACCAGTTGGTGATTTTTTCCATTTCCATTTATAGCAGAAAAAATACGCGTCTACCGACTCCCTCCCTGACTCTTTCATCTAGATGCTTAACGGTATGCTCTAATGATATAAACTGATGATGGCTTCCGGGAAAGGTCGTAATCTTTGTCAATTTCCGTCCAGTAGTAAGAAAGAAGCGCAAAATAGAAATTTATTTGCTTTTAGTATTGGTGGAAGCATACTACGTTAGAAATTGTGAGTGCTTCTGAAGTACTCATTCTCTGCACTTAGTCTGTTGTCATTCAGTCTGCCGTAAACAAAACTATATCGATGGCAGCTTGCACAATTTCATGGAAATCGTAATCATGAGAGCAGGTGCGGATATGAAATTATGCATTTATTCTTCTTCGTTCCATTTCAGCGAACAAACATTGACAATAAAACGAAGGAAAATAATTGCGTAATCTCAAATCCGCATTATGACTTTCATAAAAATTTTGGCTGTGCTAGCCATTTTCTCTTTTTATTTCGACAACAGTAAGTGAAAGGATCAGCTTCAACTGTATCGCCCGTACGATATTCATGATACATGACTAATGAATTATGGAATTGAAAAAATAATTATTTAAGTTTGGCACAAGCAATATTTTTCTGACGAATCTTTGCCACAGTTTAAATGCGTGAAATGTGGTATATCTTTGAAGGATGAAATAATGTCTTTAAAGCACGGCTGCCGACAACTGTATGTCTATATAGGGTGTCCCAAAAAGATGTGTCCACCGTTTGATTGTAAATAACTCTTTTGTAATGAAGTGCGAAAAGCTTTAGGTACCGTTTTGTAGAGTTGTAGAGCGAGGTTAAATTTAGATTTACAGTATGGAGCGAGTATCACTATCGCTCTTCATTACTGTAGGATTACGGTACAAATTTCGACAAAGATTTCAGACAATTAAAGGCTATATTCTGCCTCGGAACAAAACCAAACAAGCCAAAAACTCTTATACTAACAAGGGAATGGTCAGAAGTCGAAGTGGCCAATCCATACAGTCTGCATACCATTCGATGCAGCATAAATTGCTGATTTTAAATCTGTCTTCCATATCTGCAGAGCGCTTTTGTAGGCGAAGTTATGAGCAGCTTTACTGCGAAAAAATCGCATACAAAAATTGCGAGATTAGGCACATTATTGCTTATTCAGCTCACCTCTAGGTATGGGCCACATGAACTGACCCAGTTGCATGTCTTGGTCTAAAACTGAGCCGAGAATGGCTTTGTACGGCCAAGTTTGCTTTTACAAGCACAATTTCTTAGCAAAATAATGGCCTTCAACGGCTTATAATTTCGTCCACAAAAGCGCTCTGCAGATAAGGAAGACAGATATACAGTCAGCGTTTTATGCTGCATCTAATGGTATGTAACTTGTATGGATTGGCCACTTCGACTTCTGACCATTCCCTTGTAAGGTAATGGGAGCCGCTGATTTCGAATTCGGAATTACCTTTTAGTGTGACGCTGTTTCCTAAGTTATCGCCGGTAAATCGTGATAACTCATTTCCCAGTATTTGCCAGAAATGTAATTAACCGTCAAAAAAGCTGGAGACGCTCGTAAAAAATTGTTAGGTGGAATCAGCATGCGCGAAAACCCTAGTACACGATTTTTCAGATTTTTTGGAAAAAATTTTGTTAGGTGGTATATTTCACTATGGTTCCATATGCTAGAAGTTCGTACCGTGATCCTACAGTAACGAAGAGTGATAGATGATTTGCTCCATACTGTAAATCCAAGTTTAACCTCGCTCTATAAAAGGAAGTCTAAAGCTCGAAACACTTCATTACTAGAGAGTTATTTACAATCATAGGCACATCTTTTTGGTACACCCTGTACAGCTGGCAATAACACATTTTCGCATAAGTATGATAATTTGAACATGCTGCTATGCAAATTTATCTATCGTCGCTGTTGGCGTTGAAGACATTCTAACAAACGCTCGCCAATTCTCATCTCACCTCCGCTAGAATCTCTGGCTTCTTCATTCCAACAGTCCGTGCCGACATGTTCGCTGAATTCTCTACTTTCAGAAATTTTGCTTTCTCAAAAATGTGGCTCGAACTCTTAGCACTGTCTGCTCTTATCTTCTCCAATATGGGTTCGGGAATGGGACCACGAGGAATGGCCCCAGAATGGAGGGATCGCGATATGGAGTCAGAAAGAGGACCGAAAGGAATAGATCCAAGATTGCTAGATCATACGGAGTCAAGTATGGAACCAAAAGGAATAGATCCACTATTGCGAGAATTTGACTGATACATTTATAATACATATATCGATCTTATGCACTTGGCACACATACACCAAATTCGACAACTTCAATCTTTCGTGTTCATTCATCATTGACAAATCCCATGTCAAGTCGTCCTCGGCAAACTGTCACAGCATCCCTCCTGACTTCTTTTAATCAAAAGGGACGATGAAACTCGTCAGAGCGGCCGTCTTGGCTTTTAGTTGTAAATTAGACCCGTTGGTTCTTTGAACTATCGAGCAAACTCTTAGATTTTCTGCTAAAAAAAGTGTATTACCCTAATTACACGAGCACAAGACGCACCTTTTTCATTTTTTCAAGCAATCAGCTCGGCCGCACCACTGTGCCTCGTGAAATGGTCGCTTTACTACTTAATTCTTTCATGTAAGCAACAGCATGATAGAGAGTCTTTCGGTCACAAAACCTCAACAACAAATTTATTCGACAATTGCGAGGCGACATTAAGAAATATAAATTACTACTTTCTTGCAGAAAACCACTTCAAATTATAGTATACAACTGATGCAAAGTACGGTAAAGTTGTTGAGAATGGGTGTGTTCTGGAAATATTGTCAACGCAGTTCTGATCATGCGAAAAGCTTCGTCGTAGCGACCCATTTGAAATGAATTATCGGCATGATCTTTACTAAAGAAACCTTACTGGAGAAATAGCTGTTGCTTGGAGTATGCACAATAAAGACTCCCAAGTGCTCTTATTACTTTTTGGGTAATTCAAATGCAGAGATTACAGTGTTCTGCAATGACTGTGCAAAGATGGTAATGTTTACGATTTCCATTTTTCTTACAATCTTCTTTCAGTGAGAACCGACAATAGCTTTTCATGTGTTGCATAATAACATACTTTCGCTGACAAATTCACATCTATACGTTCAGCTTATAGAAAAAGAGCTCATCAGAAGTTATGCGGTTCAATCACTCAAAGTATTGGTTGGCTTGAATCTCTTAAATTCAAATAATGAGCGCAGCAAAAGTTGGCGAAGAGAGACTAAAGAGCTGTAACATGATTACTGACAAATATCTTACTAGGCTCTAGCCACTAAGAAGTTATAGAAGGCACTACAACTCATAAAAATTTTGTGTCAACTCATCTTACTTTGAAACATACCTGAGTGCAGAGAAGAGCAAGATTGAAGTGTGGCTCGAAGAGATGAGGTGATTTAGCAATAGCTGAGTGATAAAGTGAACGGGCTTGATCTAGCTTCCCTAGAAAAGCAATGAGCAGCTAACCTTACAAATCGATGAAGCAGAAGCAGGTACCTTCCATTTGCCGTAAGATCCCGAGATTGACCATGGCTTCTCCATGCTCAGAATCTGCTGCTAACGCCAATCTAAAGCAACGACTCGCTTGTCGTGTGTCTGATGGCCTAAACACTTTATTCAGTGTCCTGCTTCGATTAGCATCCGTACGGCAGGAAACATTTATCCACCAGCATTATATGTCCAGTGTTATACCAAATTTCCCCGGCTGTTTCTTCAGTCGCAGTTGAGTGAGCTCTTAAATGCAAACTGATCTGACACTAATTCAAATTCTTGAATACCCCTTGATTCAACAAGATTGGCGGCTGGAAGACGGAGCTTCGAAGGCTAGGGAATGAACAGAGAGCACGGACAAGAAAGAGATACAGACATTGCTACCGATCACTTGCGTAAAAACTACATATTAGACTTTAGAGAGAAGATTATCATCTTCCTAGATGAAGATATCAGGGAGCTCAATTAGACTCTATCTTGGACATTTTTTACAACAAAAACCACCTCCACAAAATTACGTATAAACTGAAAATTCGGTGCCGTCATTCCACAATAAGAACATGATGTTTTCCATGTAACGCATAAGTCTCAAAATTTTTTTCAACCCTCCAAAGTTGGAAAAAATTAATACCTTTGCATCGACGACAGTGCGAAATCGAACTGTTGACAAGCAAAGCAGCATAGGCCAATGTTCATCATCAGCTCGGCGTTGTTCACACCCATTTGCATGATTCTCCTAGATTTTGTTAAACGAAATTCAAATACGTAACCCTCAGTACGAAGTACCTATAATATCGAAGGGCGATCTCCGGTTTATCATTGTAGAAACAGTTGGTTGCAATACAAGCGATTGCCTCAATATTATTCGCTTGAACACCAAGAATTTTCTTGTAGCACTCGTTCGATTCGGCCATCTCGCCAGGAGCTAGAACGTTACGGTAAGGAAACAGCAGTTCGAGATAGAGTTTACCTCTTTGTTCCTTGCGAGTCCTGTTAGAAGAGTCACATCATCGTGATAGAGCATAAGACCTTGCTCGTAGTACTTATTCGCTACCAAAGGCTGGCCAAGACGGTTGTAGACCTGAAAAAAAATTGTTTACCTAGTTGTTGAAAGCAGTGCTTACTTCGGGCAAGTCATAATTGACAAAAATTACAATATATGGTTGAAAAATTTTAATAAAACCGTTTATGATGCTTTGTGAGTTATTTGCATTGCAGTTAAGTTCACCTCGTATTCTTTTTTGCTTGTGCAAAGAAAGCAGTGATACTGGAAGTGAAAATAACGGAGAAATTTCTTCTCTGGTGCTTACTTCAACAGGTCGCGTCTTTTGGACGAATAACGAAAAAGGAAACATATATAGGGTGCGGAAAAAGTACTGTCCGTCCAGTTTGGCTCCTGAAACACCTCAAACATAAATCAAATCTGTAGTTTTCTGATTCCCATATGTAAGCGAGATCCTTGAGATTAATTAAAGATAAGTTTGATTTCATACTATTCCCTTCTGTCCGTTTGAACGAGTGATAATAGCGCGCAAGAACATTAACGATGCGCCGATAGCATACAAGCGCGATTTTGGACCGTAACTATACCATCATCATTGTTATAAGGTTCATGTGTATGTAGCGTATGACCTCTTCTCCGATATTCTGCACCCATTATAGACGAATTATAGATTGGCGACTCTTGTTTTGGCCAAATAAGGGAGATTATACCACACGCAAATCGCAAAAATTCTCGAAAAGAGGCGAGTTAGGACTGCGCCTGCTCAATGAATTGGATTCAAACTATGATTCGAAATTCCAGATTCAAACAAAAAGTAACAAGAATAATGAAAAGAGCATCGGACTACGTCTACATCACGATTTTGGAGCGATAAACGATTATACCTTGTTTCTGTGCCACGTTTTCTGATCGCAGCCTGTTGCGCCGCAGACGCTATTTCTTTGGAAAACTTCCCAAATTCTCTCCTACAGCAAATGCGGTCTAGCTACTTTTAGCATATTTCGAAGACACTACAACATTCCTCAAGCAATAGAGGATTTCTCACTTTCACGTTGGAAACAAAAGAATTTTCCAAAAAATTTCACACTTGTAAAAGGGAGTTGCAAGACTTGATATGGGATGCGTTGCGAAAACGGGTCCACCGCTGGGTGAGATTGCAAAATCTGTTAGCCAGTTTTTGTAAAATGCTAGAATACCTTCACATCTTAGGATTTGTGTTAAACTTACCGGAAAATTAAGAATTACGCCGATTTTTTGGCTTTATTTTGAAGGACAGTACTTTTTCCGCACCCGTAGAGTCAAAAATACTGTAAGCGGAAGGATCAACGGTCTCAAACTCTGACTACTTCTAAAGTCGTTTTCAATATACAGTATTCCAAACAAAATTGTGGTCTCCTTGCTTTTGGTCAGAAATTGGAATAATCTCAAACTCCACACGCATAGTATGAGTCAAGCGCTCAAGCATTCAAAAAAGAAAAGAAAAGAAGGAATTTCTCTACCAAATGGAGATTACAAAATACTGGTAAATCCAGAAATGCGGCAATTTTTGCTTAAATAGGTGGGGATTTCCCTCCTCGCTACTTCAAAATTACAAAAATTTTAATCACCTTCTTCTTTGCTGTTTTGTAGAGCCCTCCGTATTAGTTGTTCTAAGTGGAACATTCTAGCATGAACGCAAATGACCCAGAATGTATCTCCTCCTCTTAAAGCGCAAAACCCATAATGGCACTCATCATCAGAAGCTTTGCCACAAAAAACTATGCTAGCTAACTTTCCGTTACTGAAGTAAACTTATCTTTGCCAGATAAGCATGGGTCTCTACCAAGCGATGGCTCTTCAGGGATGACAGGAATTGTTTTTCTGCTTCTTGTAGAAGTCCCAACCTAAACACATGCATCGAACAAGTATATTCATTCACGAAGTTATAAAATACTATTACAAATTGCGGCTCAAAATTGCCTATTCCCAGGTGTAGAGAAAAAGCAATTTTGCTCGATCAGTGAGATTTTTGAGCCAGAAAAGCTTGTGCTACCTTACAACATCTCTCTGCACCAATCCCTCTTGATTTGAGCCCATGGATGATGGCAGAGACGAATACAAAAATGATTGACGAAGAAAATTGTGCCCTTGACTGCTTTTAGTTCTAGCACTTGTTTATGTTGGGATATTCTTTCACACCTGTATAAGAAGACTGCCTTCAAAGCTGTATGCCCTTATTAATACCTGATAGCATTTTCCCAACTGGTTCTTCCAATACCAATCCTCGTAGTTGGCCGCTTTGGTAGCAACCGCGGCAATCTAAAAAAGGTAGGTCAGACTGATTATAACTAAAGTTCATTCTTTTTAGTCACAAACTCAGTCACTATATTCTTGGTTTCTATGCTCAATAAACATACTGGCAAACTGTAAACTGTAATTGAACTGTAAAAGGCATATCTAGGAGTCTTTTTTTCAAATGGTGTTTCTGTGCATAACTATGGACTTCTGAGCGTACTTAGATAATTCCAGGTTACGCGTGAAGATGTCTTCATCATTTTTTTAGCTGAACATGTGGATAAGTTTTACATGCATATGCACAGGTAGAGTGTTATGAACTGGGAAGCTGTTGGTTTCATTGTTCTATAAGTAATCGTGACTCAGTCTGACTAATGTTTTATAATGCAATCTTTTAAAATTGGCAGCGAATTTCCTCGCAGTTTTTGAAAATTTTTTAGAATTCCAACAATTGTCTATGCATATAATCACAAAAACTGGGTTGCAAATATGCACACAGGATACTGAGAAATTGCGGATTATTCCGTAGCTTTTTCACCGTTGAAACTCATGCTTTTTGGGTTACTGAATCGTTTATTTAATCTTTTTGGTCAACTCTCTTAAAGGTCGAAAATTTTCAAGTTCAAAGTTATAAAAGTCACGATATTCTGCGCAATGGCATAGAATTTTGTAAAGGTGCGCGTTAGCGCGCTTGAGTCATTAATTAAAAATCTCCAAGCTCTTTTCATTTTTGCATCTCTACCAGTCCTTACACTGTGCACATAAAATAAAAATCAGACACTTCATGGAAGAAAAGACATTGAAGGACAATTAACCTGGCTAGTTGAAAAATCCCAGAAATCTCCTACGCAAATTCCAAATAGTAAATGCGCAAATAGCCTAGACTAGAATGGCCATGATAACAGTTCTCCCAGAATTAGGCTAAGTAGCGCCTTATGCATTTGCTGGAAGTGTACGGACATTTTTTCATGAAGTACTCGTACTAAATTTGGTTATTGCTTATATAGGCTAAGCCGATTCGTACTAAATCCGCGTGCAATTTGGCTACGAATATTCTTTGATCACATAGTTCAAACTTAAGATTATCAAAATCATATTTGATAAATGATAGCACCACATTTAGCTATCCTCACTACGTTTTGACATTTCAAAGGGTGTTTTTGGCGAGTTTGTCGAACTTTTCATGCTTTTCTTAGTAAAAAAATACGCGCCTACTAACCTACTAACCGTGTCTCTGCTTTATATCTCATTTGTTTATCTGAAGTGGCTTAACAGCTTTCGTTACGCTTTGACATAAACTTGATCAGAACAAAATTACAAGAAAAGTTGGGGAGTCCAAAGAAGTTATCTCTTGCATCTATTTGTCTAGAATTTGCTGCAATGCATTATTCGCAAACTCTAATTCTGGCAGAAAAATAAATGTTAACGAACGCTGACATTGGAAAGGATGGTGATAACAATTCAATGATTTGAATACGATTATGATGTCGTAAAAATCTAGACTGTGCTAGCCGTTTTGTTTATCGCCGCAACTTCAAGTTTATTGCCGGATGATGAAGAAATTGACTGTAGCTTGTATCAATGCCGGAGAAAAAGAGAAATCCAAATGAAGTTCCATGAAGTAGTTATCGCAAATATTCATCCTCAAATGTGGTTTTATGAGCCTACGTTCATAGGATTGCTATGACAGATACGATATTGTTTCGACAGCATGTTCCGTACGAGCTCTTCAGCTGTATTCCTGGCAATAAAATATTCTCACATAATTGGCTTGTATATCGACTATGCGAGATAATCTAACGACGTTTTTCGCTTTAGAGACAATCTGACAGGCGCTCGACCATATAAGCGTTGCTACAGTCTGTGGCGTCAGATCTCCCATTCACCACTCATCACAGACTTATTTGACTTTTGCCGACATTTTTGCAAAATTCTTATTTGTTTGGAATTTTGGTGTACTTAAGGATGTGGTTCGCACTCTTAGCATTCGCTGTTCCCATTTTCTCCTCTTTTGGGCAAGGTGAGTTGTTGTCTATTGATAAATGAGTCTAGACTATTTAGCTCGAGACAATCCTCTAACTTTAAGATCCAACGCCCAGCAAAGCACAACCTGATAGCTTTAAATGGGGGCCAGGAGGCGAAAGGGTAATGGCTGATAGAGGAACAGGTATGCAAGCGCGTGGTGATGGAGTGGGAATGCCTTGGAGACAAGATATGGGGCCAAGAATGGGACCAAGAGGAATGGAACCAGAAACGGGAGGCCATAGACTTGGATTTGGAGGAAAGGACCGTTTCAACGGCAGACATGACTTTGGAGGAGGGGAGCGTTTCAACGGCAGACATGGATTTGGACGAGAGGACCATTTTAAAAGCATAATGATGCGACGTCCGTTGAGAAGTTAAATCAAGATATAGATTCAAAAAAAGATAATGATATACTACTTTTTAGGACATTGATAATCGCATGCTTTCCCAGCATTCTACATAGAGCAAAGTTGGCACTTCTATGTCTTTAAAAAGACTTACTTACAAAGAGTTAAAGGTTCTCTCCGCTTGAGAATGTGTTATTTCAAACAAAATGGTGCAAGAATGAAGGTGGATGTATAATATAACATAAGATGGGTACGTATACATTTGCTTTCGATACTGCCAACCATTTGCACGGCCATAGATGGCCAGACTTAAGCGAACTGGGCTGCCCAAAATTGCCTAATCGAATCATTTTTCCTGACAAAAACTTCGTGCTTTGTATTCTACAAGTCTGAAGACTTCCTAGTAAATTGTTGAGCTGCGCTTGCTCACCATGACTGATGGTTGCATCAAGATTGCTCAAAAATCCGGAATTTGGAGAGTGAACCACCATTTCATCCTGGCGATGATTAGTGGACGTCTTAGAATCAAAAAGTGGTGTTCCGTTTATTTGAGACGTTTCCATTCATCGGAACAAGCTGATTGCGTTTCGGAGCTACCGAGGTGATCGGTGCAAATCTCGGAGGATGAGTAGTTGCGTACTGCTGAATAAACACTGAAATCGAGAACTCCTTCCATTCAATACTGTGAATGGATTTGAAAAAAGAACTGCTTTTGCTGGAACTATGTACTCGTCAGTGTTTTCAGTTAATGACCAGGTAAAAACTACGAAAAAAATTATGGGACGAATTATGAAAAAACCTCATCTTGTAGGAAAGAAATTAGAGATAGCATGCGTTATACTCCACTTCATGACTTGTTTAACCGCTGTTATGTTAGGGCAAATTATAAGTGAAGAAGTAACATGCACCTTGCACCAATGTTTGGATTTTGCATTCTAAATTATACGATTAGTCATCGTCAGCGAGTGTTACCCTCAGCAAACAAAAAAATGGATTGCTGAAGAAAAGTACGTTAAAATTTAGAACTGCTATAAACTAGCTAGGCAGATCACCATCATGCAAATGCTAGATTTCGAACAATCAGCCAACGACGTAAGGCTCAGGTGGTTCATTTTATTATGTGAAAGCCTTTGCAGCACAAAATCACACTTCGTTCAGTATAGAAAGCTCGATATGCATAGAAGGTGTCCCAAAAGTATGCATACACTGATCGTTAATATCTCTCTTTCTGAGAAGCCTTCCCCCTTCCTTTCAAGTATCATTTTGTACAGCTGGCTTCAACTCAGGTCACAGCATGGAGCAAATCACCGTTCGCTCTTTGCTACTGTAAGATTGTTAGGAACTTTCAACATAGCCATTGCAAGAGGCCACCTAGAAGAAATCTTTCGAAAAATCCTGCAAAATTGTGTAGTAATGTATCCACGCATGCTGAATTCATTAGCATGAATTTTATGAGTTTTCAGGCTTTCTTGACGCATAATCACATTTTTGAAGAACCTGAAAAAACAGTTGTTTTGCATACCTCCATAACTCAAGAACCATGCATTGCAGTAAAGTGCAGATATAGTGTTCAGATTCAGCGACCCTAATTAGTCTAACAAAAAAGTTTTCGGCTTAATTTTTTCTGAGACGATATGAGACCCTTGACGGCTCAAAAGCTTCTTCAGAGTTTCCGAGTAATCCTACACTGATAAGAAAAGATCGGTGATTTATCCATACTGTCTTAGGAATTCGCGCCGTGCGAGCGGTCCTCCTACAAGGGCTAGCGCACAAGCGGTCGACATAAGCCTATAACTTCCGCGCGTGCGGCAAACAGCCGAAGCGCCGTCCAAGGCAGGCAATGTTACCTTGCAAACGGTCGGCAATACATTTGCTCGAGCGAGCGGCCAACAATGTGTCCGTCTTGTCGGCCGGCAATACTGGTTGCCGCGCAAGCGGCCAACAGTGACCTCTAAATTCTTCTAATGTGGTACGGCCTTAAAGGAAATAATGAAATAATGTCTTCAAAGCACGACTGCGGACAACTGCATGTCCATACAGGGTGTCCCAAAAAGATGTGCCTACCGTTTGATTGCAAATAACTCTCTTGTAATGGAGTGTTTCGAGGAACTTTACGTACCATTTTGTAGGACGAGGTTAAACTTAGATTTACAGTACGGAGCGAATCATCTATCGCTCTTCTTTACTGTAGGAACACGGTACGAACTGACAAGGATTTTAGACCAGTGGAGGCTATATTATGCCTTGGAACAAAGCCAAAGAAGCCAAAAACTCTTACACTACGGTAGTGGGAGCCGCTGATTTCGAATTTGAAATTCCCATTTTACTGTGATGCTTCTTTCCTAAGTTATCCTCGGTAAATCGTAATAATTCCATTCCCAGTATTTGTCAGAAATGTAATTTCACCGTCAAAAAAGCCGACACTTGTAAAAAGTGAATCAGCATGCGCGAAAACCGTAGTACACGATTTTTCAGATTTTTTGGAACATTTTGTTAGGTGGTATATTTCACTATGGTTCCATATGCTAGAAGTTCGTACCGTGATCCTACAGTAACGAAGAGTGATAGATGATTTGCTCCATACTGTAAATCTAAGTTTAACCTCGCTCTATAAAAGGAAGTCTAAAGCTCGAAACACTTCATTACCAGGGAGTTATTTACAATCATAGGCACATCTTTTTGGGATACTCTGCACTTCTGGCAATAACACATTTTCGCATAGATATGATAATTTAAACATGCTGCTATGCAAATTTATCTATCGACGCTATTGGCGCTGAAGACCTTCTGACAAACGCTCGCCAATTCTCATTTCACCTCCGCTAGTTTCTGCCCATTCCAACAGTTCGTGCCTAAATGTTTGCAAATTCTCTACTTTCAGAAATTTTGTTTTCTCAAAAATGTGGCTCGAACTCTTATTACTGTCTGCTCTTATCTTCTCCAATATGGGGTCGGCAATGGGACCGAGAGGAATGGACCCAGAATTGAGGAACCGCGATATGGAGTCAGGAAGAGGACCGAAAGGAATGAATCCAGAGTTGCTAGATCGCAATACGGAGTCAAGAATGGGACCAAAAGGAATGGATCCAGAATTGAGAGCCCGCTACAGCTATACTCGCTAGATTGTTTCACCCCAAGCTTGTGACAAGCTGCAAGCTTAAACTTAACTGATACGTTTATAATACAAATATCGTTATGCACTTGGCACACATACACCAAATTCAACAACTTCAATCTTTCGTGTTCATTCATCACTGACAGATCCCATGTCAAGTCATCGTCATATTAGCATTTTCGACAAATTGTTACAGCATCCCTACTGATTTCTTTGTTATGAGTAAAAGGGACGATGAAACTCGTCAGTGCGGCCGTCTTGGCTTTTAGTTGTAAATTAGACCCGTTGGTTCTTTGAACTATTGAGTAAACTCTTGAATTTTCTGCTGAAAAAAGATTACCCTAATTACATGAGCACAAGACGCACCATTTTCATTTTTTCAAGCAAACGGCCCGACCGCACCACGGTGCCTGTGAAATGGTCGCTTTACCATATAATTCTTTCATGTAAGCAGCAGTATGGTGGCGAGTCTTTCGGTCACAAAAGTTTTTTGTGTGTCTTAGGCTGGTCGAGTTAGGAAAAAAACAAGTGCGCCATGTACTCGTGAAATTAGGGTAGATGAACGAATGGTAAACAGGATGCAAATGCATTTCATGTGATACAAGATACGCTGGATATAAAGTTAAAACCTCAACAACAAATTTATTGGACAATTGCGAGGTGACATTAAGAAATATAAACTACTACTTTCTTGCAGAAAATCACTTCAGATTATAGTATACAATTGATGTAAAGTGCGGTAAAGTTGTTGAGAATGGGTGTGTTCTGGAAATATTGTCAACGCAGTTTTGATCATGCGGAAAGCTTCGTCGTAGCGACCCATCTAAAATAAATTATCAACATATTCCTACCAAATGAATCTGACATAGGGAAAGGTACAATGGATTCGCAATTGATCAGGTACTTTTTTGTGTGGTTAAATGCAGATATGGATTGAAAAGGTCTTGCAGTGATTGTACACAAGATGGCATTGTATACAACTTCCATTTTTTCTTTTCTTAACCTTTTTTAGGATCGACAATAGCCCCTCATGTGTTGCACACTAACAAAATTTTGTTTCGATTATGCATCTATAAGGTTCGCTTACAAGGAAAGAGCTCTTCAGAAGTTGGGCGGTTTAAATACATAAAGTATTGGTTGACGTGAATTTCTCGAAGACTATATTGATTAGCACAGCAAAAGTTGATGAGGATGGAAGTTTCAAAAGCTGTATTCCCATGATTTCTGGCAAATATTTCACAATTAGGTTCTAGCCGTAAAAAACACTGCAACCGATTTTGATTTTGCATCAACTCATCTACCTTGAGAAAGTGGTGAACCTTACCTGAGTGCAGAGAAGAGCAAGATTGAAGTGTGGCTCGAAGAGATGAGGTGACTTAGCAATAGCTGAGTGATAAAGAGAACGGGCTTGATCTAGTTTCCCTAGGAAAGCAATGAGAAGCTGAGCAAACAAGTCGAAGCATGAGCAATTACCTTCCATTTGCCGTAAGATTCCGAGATTGACCATAGCTTCTCCATGCTCAGAATCTGCTGCTAACGCCAATCTAAAGCAGCGACTCGCTTGTCGTGTGTCTCCGATGGCCTAGACACTCACGTATTGTTTTACTGCTTTGGTCAGTAAAATGTGAAGACATATTAAACAAAGACTAGCTCACCAGCATTATATGCCCTGTATTGTACCAAATTTCTCCAGCTGTTTCTTCAGTCGCAGTCGAGTGAGCTCTGAAATGTTATTTAATACACAGTGATGTTTGAAATTTACTGAATTGTGAACAAGGACTAATATGGGTCAAACATGGCCGTCTAAGCCTTCACATGGTTAACCCCCAGATAATACAACGTTATCTCTACATAAATACCGGTAATTTGCATGAAAACTATACAGGGTGTCCCAAATGTCAAAATGTATCATTACAGTTTGATTGCTAACAACTCTGTTCCTACATTGTCATTCGCCGCTCCTAAGGATTTATAGGGCAAACTTCAACTTGAATTTAGAGTATAAAGCAGACTATTGTTTTTTATTACTGTGGGATTACGGTAGAAACTCGCAGCATATGACGCGATTGTAAGACAATGAGAAAATTCCCAAAAAAAACCTAAAAAGTTGTATAGCAGGGATTTTACGCATGCCAAGTTCACTGCACAACTTCTTAAGAGACTTCAGAACGTTCAAGTAGTGTAGTCGAAATTTTACTCAGAATTTCAAGAAACATTGGAAAACGGCTGTTACGGTATATCTGGCACAAATTATGAAAGAAGCGCAACGGTGAAGTGCGGGTTTCAAATTTGGAGTCAGCGTCAATTAGGCCAGTGCAAAAGTTTTAGCTTATCTAGTTCTCTTTCAAGCAAAACATTGTCTCCAATTGCTCATAAAACCTTTTCAAAACTCTTACGCAAGGTTACAGTAATGAAGAGGAATCGACAAGTCTCTCTGTACCAGAAATTTATACTGAAGCTAGTTCCGCAGAATGTTACTTTAATAGCCCCGAAAGGCAACTGAGCAAGAGAGTTGTCAGTGATCAAACACTAAGAACAAGTTTTTAGGACACCCTGAATAGTAGAGCTGACGAAAGAATGTCAGTTCAACTTTCTGGAAATCATGTGCTAATGAAAAGCCCTCGGTCATGGACATTCTTCAAATTCTTCAAACCAATTACCTTCACAAAGCAATTTGTCTAGATACTATTCAGTAAGCATATCAACAATAAAATCTCCCAGTATCTCCAAAAGGTTTTTTGCGAGAGAGTGTTTCTTGCAGTTAAACATATAATGTCCCAAAGTTTCTCAGTCCGTTCCAAAGCTGGATAAAATAATGACCTCTGCATGGATGACAGTGCAAAATCGAATTGTTGACAAGCAAAGCAGCAAAGACCAATGTTCATCATCAGCTCGGCGTTGTTCACACCCATTTGCATGATTCTCCTGAACACGCATTATTTTACAGAATTTTAGTGCATCGAACTAAATTCACCTATAGTATCGAAGAGCGATTTCAGGTTTATCATTGTAGAAACAGTTGGTTGCAATACAAGCGATTGCCTCAATATTGTTCGCTTGAACACCAAGAATTTTCTTGTAACACTCGTTTGATTCCGCCATTTCACCGAGAAGCTAAAAAATTACGGTAAGAAGACTGCAATAGAGGGTAGAGGTTACCTCTTTGTTCCTTGCGAGTCCTGTTAGAAGAGTCACATCATCGTGATAGAGCATAAGACCTTGCTCATAGTACTTATTTGCTACCAAAGGCTGGTCAAGACGGTTGTATACCTCAAAGAAATTGTGTTTACCTAATTGTTGAAAGTAGTGCTTACTTGGGGCAAGTCATAATTGACAAAAATCTTATATATAAAGCTGAATGTCTGTTTGTATGTCTGTATGTCTGTCTGTATGTCTGTATGTACGTATGTTCCGAATAGAAAATTCCATTTCTGAACCGATCGGGACCAAACTTGGCACACATACACTTTGGGCCCCGGCGAGTGTCATAGGCTACTTTTCGTCATCGATCGATATCGATTTTATCGATTTTTATCGATTTTTTTGCTGAGTTCACCTACGGGGCTGGGAGTTGGCACAGGGGGGTAATCGAGCATGGGGATTCCGAATACAATATTGGTTTTCAGGATTATCGATTACTTTTATCGATTTTATCGATTTTTTTGCAAAGTTTGAGCTACGGGGGTGGGAGTTGGCACAGGGGGGTAATCGAGCATGGGGATTCCGAATACAATATTGGTTTTCAGGATTATCGATTACTTTTATCGATTTTATCGATTTTTTTGCAAAGTTTGAGCTACGGGGCTGAGAGTTCGCACAGGGGGGTAGTCGAGCATGGGGATTCCGAATACAATATTGGTTTTCGGGATTATCGGTTACTTTTATCGATTTTATCGATTTTTTTGCAAAGTTTGAGCTAGGGGGCTGGGAGTTGGCGCAGGGGGGTAATCGAGCATGCTGATCATCCCCAAGGGGGGTGATCAGCATGCTCGATTACACCCCTGTGCCAAATTCCAGCCCCCTAGCTCAAATTTTCAAAAAATCGATAAAATCGATAAAAGTAATGGACGATCTTGAAAACTAATATTGTATTCGTAATCTGCATGCTCGATTACTCCCCTGTGCAAACTCCCAGCCCCGCAGGTCAAACTTTACAAAAAAAATCGATAAAATCGATAAAAGTAATGGACGATCCTGAAAACTAATATTGTGTTCGTAATCAGCATGCTCGATTACCCCCCTGTGCAAACTCCCAGCCCCGCAGGTCAAAATTTACAAAAAAATCGATAAAATCAATAAAAGTAATCGATAATTCTGAAAACTAATATTGTGTTCGGAATCCCCATGCTCACTTCCCCCCTGTGCCAACTCCTAGCCCTGTAGGTGAACTCTGCAAAAAAGATCGATAAAAATCGGTATAATCGACATCGATCGATAACGAAAAGTGGACTGTGACACCCGCCGGGGCCCGAAGTGTATGTGTGCAAAGTTTGGTCCGGATCGGTTCAGAAATGGAATTTTCTATTTGGAACATACGTACACGGGTCTAGCTGGCAGGCCCGGCGGAGCCGGGCAAGCCAGCTAGTTACATTATATGGTTGAAAATTTCAATAAGCTAAATCGTTTATGGTGCTTTGAGAGTTATTTGCATTGCAGTTAAGTTCACCTCGTATTCTTTTTTGGTTGTGCAAGGAAAACAGAGAAACTGGGAGTGTAACGGAAAAACTTCTTTTCTGGTGCTTACTTCAACAGGTCGCGTCTTTTGGACGAATAATGAAAAAGGAAACATATACAGTCAAAAATAATGTGAGCGGAAGGACTCAAAGATCTCAAACTCTGACTACCTCTAAATTCGTTTTCGTTATACAGTAATCCAAACAAAATTGTGGTCCCCTGCTTTTTGTCGGAAATCGGAATAAAATCTCAAACTGCCACATGCATAAAGTGAGTCAAGCGCTCAAGCATTCAAAAAAAGAAGGAACTTCTGTACCGAATGGATATGAAATGCCTGGTATATCAAGAATTCGGCAATTTTTGCTGAAGTAGATGGGAATTTCCCTCCTTGCTACTCCAACCTTACAAAAAGTTCAATCACTTTCTTCTTTGCTCTTTTGTGGAGCCTCCTGTATTCTAAGTGGAACATTCTAGAGTACATAAATGACCCAGAATCTATCTCATCCTCCCAAAGCACAAAACGCATAACTGCACTCATCAAAATAAAAGCGTTGTCACAAAAAACGATGCTAGCCAACTCTCTATTACTGAAGCAAACTTACCTTTGCCAGATAAGCATGGGTCTCTACCAAGCGATGATTCTTCAAAGATGACAGGAACTGTTTTTCTGCTTCTTGTAGTAGTCCCAGTCTAAGCGCAAGCATTGAACATATATCATTGAATTCCTGTATTCATTCATGTAGATCAGCCGAAATACTAAACTGCAGCTCACATTTGCCCATTTTAAGTAAACAGCAAGAACAATCCTGCTCAAGGTCTCACTAAAGTTTCATTTGAGACACAAAAGCTAGTTTACGGTACAATATCCCACTGCGCCAATCACGGTTGATTTGAGCCCAGTGATAATTGCAGATGAAAAATGCAAGGAAATATTGACAAAGACAGTTGTGCCCTTGACTTTCATTCCTGATCTTCGTCTACGTTGGCATATTCTTTCGAGTTGTACGTGAACACTGCCTTCTGAAGCTGTGTACACCGAGGTACCTGAGATAGCATTTTCCTAACTGGTTCTTCCAATACCAATCCTCGTAGTTGGCCGCTTTGGTGGCAACCGCGGCAATCTAAAAATGTAGGCCATAGTGTCATAACTAAAGTTCATACTTGGTAGTGTCATACTCATCTACTATAAGGGTGTCCTAAAAAGATGTGCACATTGTTTCATTGTTAATAACTCTCTTGCTTTCATGTCTTTTACCGAGTTTGATATACCATTCTATAGAGCGAGATTCAACTTGCAAGGGAATGGTCAGAAATCGAAGTGGCCAATTCAGACAAACTGCATACCATTATATGCAGCATGAAGCGCTGACTCCAAATCTGTCTTCCTTATCTGCTTATCGCTTTTCTGGACGAGGCTATAAGCCATTAAAAGCCATTATTTTGCTAAGAAATTATGCGTGGAAATGAAAATTCAGCCGTACAGAGCCACGATCGGCTCAATGCTGGACCAAAACATGCAGCAAATTTACTTTGAATTCCTAAAGGCTAAAGCTGAGCTAAAAGTGCAACAATGTGCTCGATTTTGCTGTTTTTATGTATGATTTTTTCACAAGAAAACTGCTTGTAGCTTTTCCACAGAAGCATTAAGCAGATAAGGAAGACAGTTTCGAAGTCAGCGTTTTATACTGCATCGAATGATATAGAGCTTGTTTGGTTTTGTCACTGTGACTTCTGACCATTCCCTTGTTAGATTTACAGTATGGAGCGAATCACTAATCACTCTTCATTATTGTAGGATTACGGTAGAACTTTCAGCATACAGCGTCGCTGTGGAATAGGCCTTTTGATGAAATAATTTCAAAAAATCTGAAAACTTGTATATCAAGGTTTTCAGGCGTGCTGACTTCGCTACATGACTTTTCACCAGTTTTTCGAGCTTTCTTGATGGCGTATTCACATTTTTGACAAACATTGGAAAACCAGTTGTTACCCTAAATTTGAAATAACTTATGAAAGAAACACTCTACTGAAGCGCAAGCTTCATATTTACAAGCTTCATATTTGTTTACTACTACTTACTTTACTTCGATTGGCCAACTTCAAGAGTTTCTGGCATATTTGGCTTTCTTTCTGAGGCAAAATACCGGCAAAATACCGCTTTTAATGGCTTAAAATCCTCCTCGAAGTTCACACAGTGTTTTTACAGTAATGAAGAGCGATCGCTGATTCGCTCCACACGGCAAATCTGAGTTGAACCTCGCTCTACAGAATTTTGCCTTAAGCTCGACAAAAGACATGAACGCAGCAGAGTTATTAACGATCAAACAGTGTGCACATCTTTTTGGGACACCCTGTATATTTGGTTTCCATGCTCAATAAATATACTGGCAAACAAATGAACTGTAAAAGGCATAATTCCACATTAGGCCTTGGGCATAGCTCACGCGACGAAGTCGCCGCGATTTCCAGTCACGACGACTTGCACGAAAGTGGCGACTCGACGCGGCACTGAGTCGCTCAGTCGCCGGAGACGTGCATACCTCCGACGCGATTGTATGCAAATGCACAACACTTCACACATTGCACGTACTCTAACTCATTACTGAAAATCAGTGCTCTCGTTGAAGTTCCTTCTTACGGTATTATCTGGTTTCACAGTATAAACTTTCACTATGCTGTTAAAATGGCTTTTGATTTCAGTTGGTTTTAGATCTCGAAATGAACGTTCTCGCTTTTTGTGAATGCAAACAGAAAGTCTGTTTGAAAACTTCAGAATTATGCCTGCAAGTTCGAGAAACGATTTCACGAATTTAGACCCTTCGCAGTTCAGCGAAGAAGGAGGACTCCCATTGAAAAAGCGAGGGAGCCTTGTGCAAATCCCTGTTCTAGAGGGAAATTGGGTTCATATCTAGCAATCTATCTTCGTATAGCTCATATCTCGGAGTTTGCTGCATACCATGTCAATGTAGACTGTGAGCACATTCCTCAAGTATTCGATGCGCCATCGAACAGATTAGGGCTTGTTACAGATCTCTTTGGCAGCGTAGGATATACGAGATGTAGGAAAATGTAGATTGAAAGACAGGAAAAAATGCAAGATGAGGACTGACTGCCCTCATCAAACAATGCAAGGATAATCATAATTTGGCATTTGCAACATTTCATGCAAAAACGCTCATAGTCCGCAAAAACAGCTACTTACAATAATAACATTGAAAATGCAGCGCAAGATCGACGCGGCGGTCGCCCCGTCGCTCGCCGTAAACGAGCGAGGCGACATCGCGCCGACTCGGCAAAATCGCAACGATATCGCCAGGTGAGCTATGAACGCGCAAAAGTGTGGCGCGATCCGTCGCGCCGCGCAGCAATCACAAATGCTTCGGAACCACATAGTTAACAGCGTGGCATGGAACACTTGTCCAAAATGGCAGGACGCGACGCGACGAAATCGCATGAGCTCTGCCCACGGCCTTACGCGTGAATATGTTTTATCTTCGTCATTTTTTTTCAACTGAACATGTGGATTAGTATATGCATATGCACAGGGAGTGTCACGGATAAGGAAGCCCTTCGTTCCATTATTTGTTCTATAACCAAGGGATTTTTTTCGCACGTTTTTCACCGTCTAAACTCATGCTATGTATAAGTCATGCTACATTGAATAACTCGTTTGAATACAGAAATAACTTGTTTTGGGTTACTAAACCATTTTCCAATCTTTTTGGTGAACTCCCTTGAGAGCCGAAAATTCTCAAACTTGAGGATTAATGAAAGTCACAATCTCTGTATTGGCATGGAACTTAGTAAAGTACGCGTTAGTGCGCTTGCGTATCAAATTAGAAATCTTCAAACTCTTCCATTTTTGCAGTCTCTCTACCAATTTTTACACTGTGCACATAAAATAAAAATCAGATACTTTATGGAGGAAAGGACATTGAAGGACATTAGAGCTTGAAAAGCTGTTGAAGGTAAAACAAGAGTTTTCCAGCAAAGTGTAGCTAATTTATCGATGTAGAGGCAAAGCGTTGAGAATGCCAACGGGCAGAATTTTATACTATTTAAACGAGGGAAGATGATAAAGGTCAAACCCTAGAAACCTCCTACTCAAACTCCAAATAGTAAATGCACAAATAGCTTAGACTAAAACGTCCCAAACGATAACCGTTCTCCCTAAGTTCGGCTAAGTAGCGCCTTATGCATATGCTGAGAAATGCTTGGACCAATTTTTTTAATGAAGTACTCGTACTAAATTGGGTTGTCGCTTATATAGGCTAACCGATTCGTACTAAATCCACGTGCACTTTAGCTTTGAATAAGTATTTTTGAGCATTCAAACGTAAAAGATCGTGATGGATGCGGTGCAGGAGGGACCAAAGGCCTGTCGCCTGTAGCCGTAGGATATAATTAGGAGCGCGAGCGCTGTGGAGAAGATCTGGCAAGGGTCCAGGAAAACTTAGCGAGGACATTCATCATAAACAAAACCTTATAACTCCTCTTGGAGTCAACTTTCAGGAAAACGAAGGACAGATTTCATATCAGCATTGAAAGGCGCATTCTTCAGTAATACGCCTACCAGATAGATACAACTCTGTCTCGCTACTCGAGTTCTATTTTCACCAAAACATGAGCCCTCAAAATTAAACGTTAGAAGCTGCTTCCAAGTTCAGTGTTGGTGAAAGATTTTGAGTGAATTTTTTCAGTGAAATTTCTAGATTTGAAGTTGAAAGTAGGTAGTGGTAATCAGGCTATAATGTTAACTTAGTTGCATGTGAGGAACTTTCGCTATTGTGTACAACCTCAAAAGCATTACCGGCATAGTTTCAATGGCAATTCCTATGAAATCTTTAGTGTCAAAATTTGGAATTAGAATAGGTTCAAAGTCATGAGACAAACTGCATATTGCATCTTGACGCAAGCCTCCAGACGTGTTTTTATAACATTTGATTGCTTTAGTTTATTGATTCAAAAAGCAAAATATTCCTTTATCTCAAAGAAAAAAGAATGAATTTTGGATGACAATTCCGGTCTTCAGCAATTTAAAACTTCAAAACACATAAAAAACGTTTCTATAAGGAAGCTGACTTTCCTTACCACTACAATTCCGAATTTTCACCTACCTTTAGGCCCGGCAAATGCGCCTTCGAATTTGCACTGCAAATCTGTTTTTCAAATTCTTAAAAGTCATCTCCAGGCAAAGTTATGGAGATTTGTTCCTAAAGAATGTCCTTGCCAAGTTTTCTTGGATCCTTGCCAAAATTTTCTCCACAGCGCTCGCGCTCTTAGTGATCTCCTGCAGATAAAGGCGGCAGCCCTTTTGGTTCCTCCTGCCACCCCATCGGATAGATGATAGCATCACATTTAGCTAACCTCATCACTATGTTTCGACATTTTCAAAGGTGTTTTTGGCGAGTTAGTTGGACTTCTTATGCTTTTCTTAGTGAAAAATACGCGCCGACCAACTGTCTCCCTACTTTATATTTCTCGTTTATCTAGGGGCTTGACGAAATTTTACTATGCTAACTATGCTATGGCATAAACTTGGCCACGCACAAAACTACAAGAAAAGTTGTAGAAGTCCAAAGAACTTATCTCTTGCATCTATCTAGTCTAGAAATTGCTGCAGTCGTTTATTGAGTGCTTGCAGCTTGCATTATTCGCAAACTAATAATCCTGGCAGAAAAATAAATGTTAACAAACGCTGACATTCGAAACGATGATGTTAACAATTCCATAATTTGAATCAGATTATGATGTCATAAAAATCTTGGCTGTGCTAGCCGTTTTCTTTCTTATGCCTATCAAAGTTATATCTTAAAGTTTATCGCCGCTACCTCAAGTTTATTGCTGGATGATCAAGAAATTTACTATAGCTTGTGTCAATGCCGGAGAAAAAGAGAAATCCAAATGAATTCCCTTGAATTAGTTATTGCGAATATTCATCCGTCAAATGTGGTTTTATGAGCCTACTTTCGTAGGATTGCTATGACAGATATGATAATGTTTTCGACAGCATGTTCCGTACAAGCGCTTCAGCTATATTTCTGGCAACAAAACATTCTCACAAAATTGGCATGTATATCGAGTATGCGAAATAATCGAACGACGTTTTTCGCTTTAAAGAGACAATGTGACAGGCGCTCGACCACATAAGCGTTGCTCCAGTCTGTGGCGGCAGATCTCTCATTCACTAATCATTCAATCACAGACTTATTTGACTTTTGCCGACATTTTGCAAAATTCTTATTCGTTTAGAATTTTGATGTATTAAGAATGTGGTTCGCACTCTTAGCATTCGCTGTTCCCATTTTCTCCTCTTTTGGGCAAGGTAAGTTGTTGTCTATTGATAAATGAGTCTAGACTATTTAGCTCAAGGCTAACCTCTATCTTTGAGATCCAACGCCCAGCAAACCACAATCTGGTAACTTTGAATGGGGGCCAGGAAGCGAAAAGGGAATGGGTGATAGACGAGGGACAGGTATGCAAGCGCGTGATGATGGAGTGGGAATGCCTTGGAGACCAAATATGGGGCCAAGAATGGGGCCAAGAGGAATGACACCAAAAATGGGCGGCCGTAGACTTGGATTCGGAGGAGAGGGCCGTTTCAACGGTAGACATGACTTGGGAGGAGGGGAGCGTTTTAACGGCAAACATCGATTTGGAGGACGGGATCGTTTCAACGGCAGACATGGATCTGAAAGAGGGAATCGTTTCAGCGGCGGACATGAATTTGGAGGAGAGGACCATTTTAACGGCATAATGATGCGAAGTCCGTTGAGAGGTGAGATCAAGACATAAATTCAAAAAAAAAGATAATGATCTACTACATTTTAGAATATTGGTAATCGCATGCTTTCCCGCATTCTACATAAAGCAAAGTTGGCACTTCTATGTCGTTAAAAAGACTTACTTTCATTGAGTTAAAGATTCTCTCCGCTTGGAAATGTGTTATTTCAAACAAAATGGCAAAATAAAGGTGGATGTATTATATAGTATTATATGGGTACGTACACATTTGCTTTCGATACTGCCGACCTTTTGCACAGCCATAGATGGCCACACTTAGGCCCGTAGTAAAGCTCGATCACTTCAGGTGAACTGAACTTAACCCAACAATTGAGCTTAGTTTAGGTGAAGATGACAGCCCACCTTCCTATGCTATAGCTGGCAGAAAAAACAAACTCTTCTCCTTTTTGTAAACTTTACTTATTTTTTAGAGCTGCCCAAAAAAGAGAATTCATTTGTTCATTTCATTAAATTCACAACCGTTTTGTTTTTTCGTAAAATTTTCGTCACAAAATGTGTTTCTGTTTTATCCGTACATTTGCTACGCGAAAATCCTTAATAGCGGTCATCATCGATTGCGATAATGGCCGCTATTAAAGAGCACCCGGCGATGCAGCAAAAGTCGTATCGCTAGACGTAGTCGAACCTCGGCCGCGCGTGTAAGTCCAATCGCTTACCCTTTTGACCAAACCGGCTCGAGTGGTCACTTTTTCAAGAACACACTTGATTATAATGTCTAGGAAGCGATCCGCATCCAGATCAATAGCTCACCGGATGCTAGGCTGAGGCTCGATAAAACCAACTGCGGTCCGCATCAAGGGAGCTACCCTGGTGGGAGTTTACTTCGGGCCTTAGGCAAACTGGGCTGCTCAAAATTGCTTAATAGAGTCATTTTTCCTGACAAAGAACTTCGTGTTGTGCAATCTACAAAGCTAAAGATTTCTTGCTAAATTGTTGAGCTGCGCTTGCTCACCATGACTGATGGTTGCACAAAGTCAAGATTGCTCAAAAATCCGGAATTTGGGGAGTGAAAACAACCATTTCATCCTGGCGATGATTAGTGGACGTTCTTAGATTTAAAAAAGTGGTGTTCCTTTATATGACACGTTTCCATTCATCGAAACAAGCTGATTGCGGTTTTGCAGCTACCCCTCAGACAATCGCAAGGGAAGCTCCGGAACAAACTGAGCTTTCAGAACTTCCGGAGCGGACGCTGCTATTGGTCCGTGTGGCAAAGGCCACACGGCCCATGCCACACGGACTATTAGCAACATCCGCTCCGGAAGTTTTAGAAGCTCAGTTTGCTCCGTAGCTTCTTTGCATACGTGAATGGATTTGAAAAAAAACCGGTTTTGCTGGAACTATGTACTTCTCAGTTTTTCCAGTTAAAGCCCAGGTAAAACCTAAAAAAATTATGAAATCAACGAATTATGAGAAGAAATCTCATTTTGTACAAAAGAAATTAGAGTTGTACAGCATGTGCCATACGTCATGACTTTTTTGTCCTAATCGCTGTTATGTTAAGGCAAAAAAATAAGCGAAGAAGTAGCACGCACTTTACCGCACTTTACCAACCCGTTTGGATTCTGCATTCTAAATAGTATATACTACTAAACGAACAATCATTGTCAGCGAGTACCAACCTCAGCAAACAAAAAATTGGGTTGCTGGAGAAAAAAACATTCAGAGCTGCTTTAGTAAATTAGGAGTGGATACCACCATGCAAGTCCTAGATTTTGAATAATCAACCAGCGAAGTAAGGCTCATGTGATTTATTTCAATAAAAGGCTAAAGCCTATGCTGAACAAGATCACATCGTTTGGCACAAAGAAAAAACTCGATCTACTTTCATCTCTTTTCTTGACAACTTTCTGTCAATCTATTAGTGTGATCCAAAAGAAATGGGGCACCTAGAGAATGAATGCGGTTTTCTTAGACAAAAAAGTTTATTGAATTCCCACTTCTTGTCAGATGTTAGTACATGAGAAACCTTTTGATCGACAAAACTTTTTTTCTATAGATAAGCACTCTCATGTGGCTGCATTTTAATAAGCGTTCAAGATGAAAGCTCGTCACTTCAAGGAATTATAAACTTTGAGCGGCTACCGCAGTAAAACCACTGAGCTTACCAAAGATATCTGCGCAGCCATGGGTGAGGCTGTCACTAAATCCACGATAGCCTGGTGCTCGCAATGTTTTGAAACAGAAGATATGGCATTAGGTGTTAGGAGACATATGACTTATTCTGTCATCAAGGTAATCAAATGAGCTCAACCTTGACTCGCGTTATCTGGCCGAGCTTTTCACGCTCTATCCATACATATGCAATTCACCTCGATTATTATCATTTTCAAGAAATTGTGGGCCAAAACATGATTTTAGCCTGAAAATCCGCAATTTACATCGCATTTTCTAGAATAAAGTGCTCGTTTATACGAAATAATGACGAATTCTCGTAATCAGTAAAAATTAGAAAGGATAGAAAGCTCCTTTCGACTAATATGTCACATGTTTAGGACTTTGGGTACAGCAGCATTCTGTTTGGGTTCTTCGAAACTCCGCTCGAAGGATTGTGGGTGAAGTGCTGCAAGGTGCTGTCAGGATAACCTGCAAAGCACAGGTGCGATAGTGTGAGAATTTTCTCAACCCCCCTTCACCCCTGAGCCGGGACCAAGGTGACCCCTTCACCAAAATCCGAGAAAAATAACAGTGAGGTAAGGTTAAGCAAAGGAGATATTTGTACGTGAATTGTTTATGTATAGGAAAGGAGGAGTCTGTTGAAAAAAGTGCTTGGTGACGGGTGTGAGTAGTGATTTCTGGACATTTTTTAGTTTTTAACATAAAAAAATTCATAACTTTTGTCGATGAACATCTTTGACGGCGAGATGGTCACCGTTAGAACCATCTCGTCCTCCGCTTTCAGAAAATATATAGAATGTCTGAGATCCATTAAAGAAAGTGGTGAAGGGTTTGCCTAATGATTTTTGGAAATTTTCGAGTTTTTAACGTAAAAAAATTCATAATTTCTGTAGATGAACATATTGTACGCCTGGATAGTCACCTTTGAAACCGTGTCGTCCTCGCTTTCAGAAAATATATACTTTGTCTGGAGTACATTGAAAAAAGTGCCTGGGTGAAGGGTGTCCTAGTGATTTTTGGAGATTTTCGAGTTTCTAACATATAAAAATTCATAACTTCTGTAGATGAACATCTTGTACGCCGTGATAGTCACCTTTGGAACCGTCTCGTCCTCGCTTTCAGAAAATATATACTTTGCCCGGGCTCTGTTAGAAAAAGTGCCGGGTGAAGGGTGGGTGAGACTTTTATAATGGGAGTGCTCAAGTACAGGCTTTTTTACCATTGTAAGAAGACGTCTACTTGAGCACTCCCATTATAAAAGTCTCACCCACCCTTCACCCGGCACTTTTTCTGATGGACCCCAGGCAAAGTATATATTTTCTGAAAGCGGAGGACAAGACGGTTCCAATGGTGACCATCACGGCGTACAAGGTGTTCATCTTCAGAAGTTACGGATTTTTCTATCGTAAAACTCGTAAATATCCAGAAATCACTACCGACTCTTTTCATCAGGCACTATTTCAACAGACTCCAGGCAAACTATACATTCTCTAAAAGCGGAAGACAAGGTGGTTTCAAAAACATTTCCCTTGCTGACGTTGCTGTTCATCTACAGAACTTAAGAATTTCTTCTTTTAGAAAATTCGTGAATGCTTAAAAATTAAAGCTCTATTTTAATCAGGTACTCAGTAGTCCACAGCTAAACATAAGATGCAGCAGAGCGCATGTTTGCGAAGATTGATTGATTTCGTATAGCTAATGCTCATTAAGCAGAAGAAAAAATAGGTTTGAAAAGATTTTCGATCAATGACTTCGAGTATGTAAGTTAGATATTCGTATAGTAACGGCTCACTGGTAATTTCTAGCCTATTCGTGGATTTTTTGAGATTATGAACAAACAAACAAGTTTTATACCAAAGGGGGTTCAAGGGAAAGAAGACAGGGGATTAAGGGACGGTTAGGAAATAAATTTCATGGAGTTTATTTGTCAATGAATTATACTATCTTAAAGATTGCTTTTCTAGTTTCAACTTATTTAGATGAAGCAGTAAAAACTTACATTCAAGCAAACAGATTTACGCATGATGAAGAAATTGGGACCACCACTTCCCCCCCCCCCCCCGGTCGACAATTTTATGATTTCTTTATCAACTGAAACACCCTTCACCCGGAGGGGCTGCTACCGCTGGGGGAACGTCCGGAAGGCGACAAATGACCTAGAACAGGCGCAGCTAGTGGGCACGCCCTGTCCGAGTTTCCCATTGTTAGGATGCTCTGGATTTTGGATTGGGGCGCCTTTATACACATTGCGCATGGCTCTCTCAATCTCTGACTTCGTCGTTTGTTCACTGGTTTTTTGGACGTTTTTGTTCGTGTATGTATATTATTGCTCATTGTGGTAATGTGATGATTTGCTTTCTTTTGTATTCGCCTCTCTGTGAGCATATGCTCTTCTGCCTTTTCTAAAAAGTTTTGTTTCAGGCTGCAGCAATATGCATGGTGCAATAAAAGATCATCCTAGTAAGGAGGTTAGTAGATATCTGCGTTCTTGAGTGATGTGATAGTTTCGTATTTTTCCATGGGTTAGGTATTTAGTTAACTATACCATTTATACGTTAATTAATTTTTGTGCAGACCTCGTCCAAGTTGATGATGTCGAGCGGATAGAATGTGAGTAGAACTTCACTCAACAATGGTACTATAAACCAGTTATATCAAGTAAAGGTGAGCTATTATTTTTTTGCATCTTCTTTACAATACGACTTTTCTTCAGGCTGAATGTAGAAGAAGATTTTGAGCACTTTGAGCAAGGACGCATTCTGCGGTGGGAACTCGATGTTGAGACTGTTCGAGCACTTCAAATTTTTTATTTCAGCTGTCGCTTGCAATACACTGTAATGTGATAGTGATATAATAATCACTCTTTTTTCTGATTGTTAGCATCGCTGCCTTTTTTTCATTGAGAATAAAGATTTATCGTTCAAACTGTAAAACAGAAGAGCGCAGAAAAGCCGAGGGAAGGTCATAGCATTGATTATAGACAGAATGCGAGTTTGCTAGCGGGTTGAGTAATTGGACAATTCTGGATTTCCGGCAAAAAGAGTTTGTATCTCTTCCACCGAA